CATAAGAATATTTATCTATATATGGATTTGCAGAACTTCATAAAGACACGTAGCCTGTATCTTATGAAGGTAAATTACATACCTGGCGGACTCAGGTGTTAAACAGTGCATCACCTGTCCACGTGGGGTAGGTGTTCACACAAAGACTGCGTAATACCGCACGTGATGCCATCAATAGCTTCGGACAATCAAATTAATTATGTATCAAGATGCCTTCCTATCATTTTTATAGTTAGCCTCTTCCACCATTCTTATGGTCATGTGCTGATAGATTCACGCCTTTCACTCTGAGTCATCACGTAGTAGTGTAAGTCTTTTTGAAACTCTATCTGATTGCGACTGATTACACGAAGAGTATACATGGAACATTTTACGCCCAACGTTAATACCTGGTTCCTAATCAAACTTCACACCTTTTATTTTACCACGTGTTTTACTTCAGCAATTACCTGTTCTCGGATCTCACAAGTGAAACCAATTCACTTTTAGTCACGAACACGGTTGCAGTCCGCCTTAGCTATTGTTTTTTGCATAGAAGTAACTACAACATAAGATTGTAGTTGCTGCTGAGGTTCTTCAAGGCGTTTTATTGATGAGCTTCAACAATGGTAAAAATACAAAACTACAGTCGTTCTATATTTCCTTCATATCGTGTTGACTTAAATGCTAATTGCCAGAACAACAAGACGTACCATCTTTACGTCACTAATGTAAGGTTTCTTGACGTCATGTCCTATTGTACACATGTTGACGTCATCATTAAATCGCAGTATTGCAGTAATGTTATATTATGCTCAACTTATTACAATGTAATGGTAAATTCAGTATACAACACACATCATGAACGTAAAGCCCAAAGATGCATCCATAAAGGATATAACGGATTTATAAAGCATTCATGCCGATATGAACGCAAATAAGTTACCTCAAAATTGCTGGAAAACGAATTTCAAAGTATGTATGAATGCAACAAATTAATGTTACTGGCGGCAAGAATGTTACAATAATTTCGTTGAATACGTATATTTATAGTCTTAATTCAAAGTTATGAAACATTTATGTTTAAGAATCGTTACCATTTAATATGTAGCATGTCCCCTCTGTACAACCGATATTCTATGATCAGCATAATGTCACCTAAATGTTTTATTTCTACGATGATTTGACGTTATTGGATTCAAAAGGAGAAGCTTTAATATTACACCGATCCAACTTATATTATAGCCCCATGGCTGTTTAGGTACAGTTAGTGTAGTTTTTATTTAGAGAATTGCTTTCGGAATATTATTATCAGTTGTTGAAAGAAAAACAGGTCAAGAGTTATGAGTTAAATATGACAACCGTGATAAATAGTTAGACACATCTGCAATATGGCATGTGTTAAACTTCGTAAGATTATTTGTTTCTGACAAGATCAAATGTATTGTGACATTTCTCACAATAATACTTCAGACATCTTAAAGCCATGAGTAAATAAATACAAGTGCGTCCCTTTTAAAAAACAATTTGTCGACGGCAATCCTTACATTAAAGGGCTTAACATGCTAAATTGAGATTAATGTTATACAAATACCTTTCATACCAATACTCTGGTTGTTATCTATATTAAAATACAATTTTCCTTAAAAAATAAAAACATCTTAATTTTGCAAATGAAAAGCGTTTTCTTCTATTAAAAAAGTTATGCATTTTTTAGATCAATTGTATATGATCTATGTGAACTGTGTATATACATATTCGATATAACTATACAACTATTGGCCATTAAGTAAGGTGCCCTAACACAAACTCACTCCTATTGATTAATGATACAGTGAGATGTAATATAACAAACTTACTATAAGTGATCAGTAATACGGTGAGCTGTTTTGTCTATGACTTGTCACGTGACCATGTATGCTGTTATATTATTTGTCTATTACTTGTCACGTAACCATGTATGATATTATAGAAGTTGTCTATGACTTGTCACGTAACCATGTATGTTGTTATATGATTTGTCTGTCTTGTCACGTAACCTTGTTTGCTGTTATATGATTTGTCTATACACTAGTCACATAACTATGTATGCTGTTATATGAGTTGTCTGTCTTGTCACGTAACCATGTATGCTGTTATATGATTTGTCTATGCACTAGTCACGTAACCATGTATGCTGTTATATGATTTGTTTATACACTTGTCAAGGACCATGTATGGTGTTATATGATTTGTCTATACACTAGTCACTTAACCATGTTTGTTGTTATATGAGTTGTCTATGTCTTTTCACGTAACCATGTATGCTGTTATATGAGTTGTCTATGTCTTGTCACATAACCATGTATTCTGTTATATGAGTTGTCTATGTCTTTTCACGTAACCATGTATGCTGTTATATGAGTTGTCTCTGTCTTGTCACATAACCATGTATTATGTTATATGAGTTGTTTATGTCTTGTCACGTAACCATGTATGCTGTTTTATGAGGTGTCTATTACTTGTCACGTAACCTTGTTTGCTGTTATATGATTTGTCTATACACTAGTCATGTAACCATGTATGCAGTTATATGAGTTGTCTATGTCTCGTCACGTAACCATGTATGCTGTTTTATGAGTTGTCTATTACTTGTCACGTAACCTTGTTTGCTGTTATATGATTTGTCTATACACTAGTCACGTAACCATGTATGCAGTTATATGAGTTGTCTATGTCTTGTCACGTAACCATGTATGCTGTTATATGAGTTGTCTATAACTTGTGACGTAACAATGTTTAATATTGTATGATTTGTCTGTAACTTGTCAGGAAACCTTGTATGCTGTTATAGTATTTGTCCTTTAATTGTCATGCCCAGATGTATATTTAGCCTGACCAATTGTTTCATGCCTCCTGATCATGAATGAATGCGATTTATAATAAGTGTACTTTACAACAAACAAGCTACATTATCTATTATATTTCATATGTAGCATAACACTGTTTCATATAAAACACGAAAGACATGATTTCGCAAAAAAGAACACAATGACATACAGGGAAAATGAATTATAAAAACATATATTAATCATATTGCACAACATTTGCGCCACGCACCTGTCAAACACCGATCTTTAAACCATAATTGTGTGTGCATTAAGGTGCTGACCCCTCCTGTGTGTCTGGTGTAATATGATAGGATTCACGCCGTCATAGCTCCAACTTAAAGTATTGTCATCTTTTCTCCCCCACATTTATTATTCATATTTCAAAATTTCGGGTGTTTTTTTCATCACCGTCTGACAGAAATACATGTAATATGTAAAGCAATGTTTCCCGGTTATATGTACAGCAGCATGCGTTTATAAACAAGGAAACAACATGTTAGTTTTGTCAAATGAAACACCTTTTGCAATTTATTAAACTGCAATACTTACAGCATTCGATTCGGTATAGATCAAGTATTTTAAACTCCTGACATGAAAATCCATTTCAATGTAATATATTATCAACATTATGTCATGCAACACCAGAATGGATATTGTTGAGAGCGTTCACATTTAATGACAGAAATGGAAATGATGATGCAGGGACTTTTAAAAGGGATCTAAAAATTCATATACTAATAAATATGTTTCTGAAAGGTAATCGTGATAAACCATGATGTATAATGTTCAAATGCACAAGGTTCGTGAAATTATTATCTGATATATATACTAGCATCATTTTAAAATATACAACTGATGAAAAGCATGTAAAGTAATCATTCCATAGCGTGTTGGTTTCGTTTAGTGGTTAACTAAGGCTTTTTTCCTCTTGTTGTAGTGTCTCCTCGATATCTATTGTTTTTATATTTTATCATGTGTGCTGTAGTTGGGATATTCCTGTAATCTGTTTTACTTTGATGTGGTGCATAGAAACAAAATAAAATAGGACACGCAGTAGTTCACAACATACAAACGGGTCTAACAAAGTGTTTGTACCATAGAATATCAAGAGATAGTTGGGCTCAGGGTATTGTCATGAAATCAAAGTTGCATTTGTATTTCCGTAAATACATTGTATGTCCAGGCCACAAAAACAAACGTAAACACTAGCACGTCATTCGGTCGCCGAGATAGCCTCCTAGATATGATTTTAGCATGTCAATAGTGTGTTAGTGTCTCCTTCAGACACGTAAGTGTACACACATCTTATTCAATGTCTGTGTATAGCTGATAATTACCGTGTAAATGAAAACACTTTGTCTCAATACCTTCTGGTCGCTGGTACAGTATCAGCATCGAGGTCGGGGATGCCTTATCTCAAGGACTTCCGGGCGATAAGAGTAACGCGACAAGGACGAGTAAAACATCTTAAAGATTGTAAGAAGAGAAATGGAACAAGTAAGTACACAACACAACTGTACACTGACAAACACTGTATGATACACCAAACATAGACATCTCGAAGATCAAAGTTGATTTTCGTTCAGATTTCGTATGGTACTGAAAATGTCTCCCACATATGCCCAGAACAGTAAAAACGGAAGGAATTAATATTTGTGCAGGACAAACATTACCAAGATCGTCTACGACTAAAACTTGTTGTTTGTTCTGCTGTTTTCGAGTGTCTTTGTTTGCTGTATACAAACCAGATTTATTGTTAGGTATACTAAATTATAAGCATTCATCAACAGTTCGATATTCACCCCTATGTTTGCGTTAGATCCCAATACACCGCATTGAGTAGTCGTTACAGTATTTCAGTCCCCTTAATCAATTAAAGTGATTTGTTACTTGACCAAACAAACTTACTTCACAATCTTTCTCTAAGCCACGATTGATACAAAAAGAGTAGCTATTTTAGTGAATATCATTGTATATCGTACGTCCTCAGAGGAGACGAATTATACGTTGTTATATGAAATCGTACTTGACCTTTAAATCCACGTCCTACTCATATAAACAAATTAAACGTTCACGGGGCTTTATTAAATCATTCTGTTCGGCAAACAATAGTTGAATTCATGTCCCATTGTGAATGGTGACAGACCGATAACGTTGCATCTATTACAACGCATGATCCGTGATGTCCACCCGAGCCTAATTTGCATATGTATCTACCCGGGTATCTTACGTGTATTGGGCGTCAATAGCGATAGATCGACTATACGCATTGTCTTCATGGGAGCATTGTGTGCGCTTTACCCAAACTGTAATTACTGATCGACCCTGTGAGGGACTGTGTGAATTTATTTAGGGTAGGATGTTGTTTGGGAAATTACCGGAAGATTTTTTTAAGTTCTTGAACATGTAAAAGTCCAGATATCCTAGGAGATCGATACAGTATTATAGATTATCGTTATTTTACACGAGATATTGAAGTGAGATTCCGGAGTAGGAGCGGCAGTGATTTGGAATTGTATACAACTTTAAGCGGTCCGCAATTATATATCAAGAGGGCCATAGAAGGTGGTTTCCTGTGGTCTCGGCGTTATTGACTTCAATTTATCGGATATAAGGTATTCATTACAAACGAGGGGCTATGGATAACGAGAATACAACGACTGAAAAGGGAAATCCATCCAAACCAGCGACAGAGAATGATAGTTCAGCAGCGGAAAACGTGGATACAATTGCAAAGGAAGATGATATAAACAGTCTGAAAGAAAATGGAAGTGACGATGAAGATGAATTCATGGATGACGATGAGTCTACAAAACGTTCAGTTAAGAAAACACCTGAACCTGTGGCAAGCCCAATTATGTTCGATGAAACTCAAATGGATTTTATGAATGAGGAGTGGAAATGGCCATTGCCCAAAACTGACGAAGAGGAAAACGACGATGAGGAGGAAGAAGATGAAGGAAACGACGATGACAATGAAGAGGTAGTGATTTTTGAATGTAGCATGTTCCTTAGTTTTAATGTAATTAACAAACATTTGTGACGTACATGGCGTACAATTGAATTATATAACGACAGAAAACATAATACAACGAGTTAAAGTATTATTTCATATTATGTTACCGTACCTTTCCCTGATAAATATGGCAATAGACTACCATATAATGGCATGTCTATGTGGTTATAAGTTTAGCCTCCCTACCGTTTTGGTTTGTGTGGCAATACACCATACTAACCGTTCGTGATATAAATGACATCAGGCATCCCTATCTTTGCTAGTTATAAGCGGTTATATGTGTCCCTACGTTTGCCTGTTTATGTGGCAATTGGTTTCAACTGTTTCTACGACCTGGAGCTGCTCTACTTATCTGTTTCAATATTCTTCATGTGCCATATATGTAGAAGTGTCAAAGAGTTAGGTTTACGATAACCGATATGGAGTGATGATTCTATCGTGAGATAAGTACATGTAATAACAATGGCTGCCATTATCAATACTGTACGGATTACCTATCATAAACAATGATATAACTTTAGGCGTTAATTTACATGTATGTAATATCACAATATACAACTCAGTACAGACGTTTAATCTCGACTTTGAGTATGATATGTGTAAAGGTAGTTTGACAGAACATTTAAAAATACAAGACCCCCAAAATTCTTACTTACAATCTCAATGTCTCGTTTTAATTAAAATACAATATGGATTTATTATATTGATATCAACATGATTATAGTTATTTCTAAGGTAGGTTGTATTGACTGTATTTGAAATTTTGGTAACCTTTCATCTCTCATACAATAAACGTCACAAATGTTTATATTCGCTGAAATACTTGTAAATCATACTTTAAAAGGAACCATGAGCAGACCATCAAGAAAGAACTTTAGTCGTGCACTCGATTAAAATATCATTATTGCGTTGACGATTGTTTGTACTACATTTCTAAAGCTTGCACTCTTCTATTTCTGTTACTAGAACATTTCGTGTAAGGACCTGGTCATGGCATATGACATACTTTTATCATATCTTTTAAAGCAGTGTTTAGGTCATTCAGATAGTGCTACCTTTATCATTATTATGCTTTGACGTTGAATCTAAAAGGCAATATCTAAAAATGATTTTGTACTGATGTTGTTTATGTCTTATACATTTTCGTGTGTAGGCGTGCAGTTATCATGATACTTGCACTATGACCATAATATCAGAGGGCGAATGCTGCTATGGAATCCATGTTTCATCAGCTGCGCCCTGTTATCAGGCTACTTACGATAAAAGGCACATAAAACGCCAAATAAAGACTCTCAGTTATTTGTTTTAATCTATTGTCTACGTGATAGAAACGATAAAATGTATGTTTGCATGGATGGGTGGCCATATAACTAATTTTATATACACCGTTCAGTTCCTCTAAATCACAGTACTGTCTATCAACATGGGGGCAGTTTCATAGATATTCTGTCAGTGTTTCATGTGTGAGTTTTATACATGACATAAATATACTGACTGAATGCAGTTGTTATAAATGTCTACACTTAGACAAATCATATATATGTATCACGTACATATTCGTACATAAAGTAAGTACAATTACGTTTTCTAGGAATTGACATACTTATTTGTCCCTTACCTGAAGTGGTAGTATTGTGAATGGAGATATTAAACTGATTGATTAGTTTAATAAGATTTATCTTAACACAATGCGCTAAAGATTTTAATAGATATTTAAGTACCAAGATTTATATATTATTTTTCGTTGAAAAATGTTAAAAATACAGACAGATTCATTGTAAAAAATATACTGCCTCAAGGTTAGATTAAAAGATATTTGACATTAAATAGGAACGCGGTATCATTAAGTGAGACCAAACCTCAAAAGGGATAGTGGTACCAGCGAAATCTATTAAGCAATGCTAATATTTACATTGTGAACTAAATTTGTGAAAGCTTGTTCTCTTCTCTTTATATCAAAAAGACATGTATCAATTAATTAATTAATTAATTAATTAATCAATACACACTTACAATCGAGTATGGTTCCCACCTATCAGATGTACCTGGTAATGAAACTTCGAGGTCTGGCTATGTTTTAGCTAAACTTGGGACATTTAACGGGTCAATGTGTATGTGCTGCCTACCTTGAACACTATAAATAGGATAGTAATTTAATAGTGTTACAGATTATCGATTATTTGTTAATATTATTGAAAAGTGAAATCGTAAGTTTTAATTATCATTTGTAATTCGGTAATGACATTTTTATATTGCCATCGGTGCATATTGCGTACTCTAAATTCTTATGTCGGCAAATAGCATGCTCTGATTTCAGTTTGTATCTGTGACTACTGTCCCTCATAGAAAAGCATAATGATTATGCTAGATCTCTATCACATGAAATGCCACCATAGGCACACATTCGAAGGATCAATATCCCCCGATGTTGCCTTTCTACAATAGCTCGTGCTTTAGTCAATCTATGTGATAATGTCGCTGCTTTCGTGTATCACTTCTTCATCATTGATTCCTTATCAGGACCACTGTTCCTGTAAAACTCTGCATTACCTTCCGACATGCGATAACATCAAGTCTAAAATTGTGTCCAAAGCTTTTGAAACCATCCGAACGAAGATAATGCAAATCGAATGATGAGCGCTTTGGAAAAAAAGCGTATTTCCTAGCCATACTGTACTTACACGTTACATTTAATACGTCATTGTCCTTTCAAAGGGAAGAAAGAGAGGGTATTGGATTTCAATATTTTGCTGTTCTCAGTACGTTATTTTGTCTCTAATGAAAATGGCAATCGACCGATCTTTACCCAATGTCGATGTGGTTTGTAATCGGAGGAAAATCCGTAGTTACTTATTGAAGCAAAACATATAATAAAATTATAACATATAATTCCTGACCTAACATTTTATTTGTGCATAATATTTATATCAACTTACTACTTGTAACTTGGAGATTTGAGTGTCCTATTCATGATCACATTCACGGAAGCTTATATAAAGATATGTGAAACTGGCATTGAAATCGCTTTTTTGATGTGAATATCTTGTATTCGTTTTGTGTCTGACTTTTACACTAGTTAACATGGATTATTTGTGTATGCCATTGTTTTAGAGACCCCGATTTAATAGGCCATTACGAAGTTGTATTTATTTAGGAGATACCTAGCTCAGTAGATCGTTTGTGGGGTTATTTGGTTTAGAACTAAATGACCCTTGGATATTGTTAGATATTCCTATAGATTCGTATTGATTGAACTTGTTTTATCAATGGAGAGTACAGAAGGAAACGTAATCTATATACTTACAAGGGGGATGGATACTCCATTGTTTTTTTCTTTTTTCTTTCGGTATTGTGTATTCAAGTACCTGGCATTTTTAGTGTACCTTGTATTTTTAGTGATACTTAGTCACATTGATTTGACTGCCATCGATTAGAGAACACACACCATAGAAGACAAAAAAAAAAAAAAACACTTCTAAAATACGTCCTATAGCCACAAATCAGACGTTTTTTGATAAAATTAAATATTTTGCAAATTCAATAAAACGGTATTGAACACAATCTGTGGTAAATAATTTAATTTTAAATTGATTTATTTATTGAAAATATGTTTCATGCTTTTTCTTTTATCTTGGTGTGTGTGCTATTGTATCTTTAATGACTCTAGTCATAAAAAGATCATATTACTTGAAAGAACTTAAAACACAGAGTAGTTGCAATGTTACAAACATAGGAGCAACTACCATACAATATAAACAAAAAATGTCAGCTAGCCTAAGTGGGGTTGGCCGAAAACCGCCACAATGACATTTCTGAGGAGAACATTCAGAATGTCTGGGGAACCTATGTTTATGTATGACAATGTGCATATGTTTAAAATTCATGTTTTTATCATCGTAAATGAATCCTGGCTGATACGCAAATAGAGACGCTTTTGAAAAGATGGATATGATTTCTAATATTCTGAATTTTCATTAAAATTGAGACTACCTAAACTGTTGTCAATGTAAAGTTTCTCGTGGTATTAAGTTGTGATCACATTGAGAGGCACGGAACACATACTGTTGTTAATGGCAATATTGAAGTAAATAGACTACTAATATGATACGTGCTGTGCAACACTACAGGATACGTTACTCATTAAATATACCCATTGTAATTTAAATTTCATTTTCGGATGATATAAATAAATAAACTATCATACGGTTTTAAGCAGCTAAAGAAATAATCATTCAGTCAATTTGTGAGCCAAATGCACGACATGACACTACATCATATTAAATATTCCTGCTATGAATCAAACTCATATTATATTTATTTACTGTGCCATCTCGTAGCAGTGCAGTAAATATTTCAAACTTTCATTTGTTATAATGATATAGCTTGGTAACGGCTGGGGTATTATCTAAAATTACTATCATATGTTTTTTTCTTTCTTTCCAATTAACAGACTAGTCAACCTGCGTAGTGGTATCAAACTTTCACTTTTTGAATTCAAAATAATTTAGCGCAATGTGAATCGTCGGTGGTTGGTTGATGTATATCATTTATGCATAAGAAGAACACACATGTCGTACAAACATAACCATTTTGTACCACTCCTGATAGTAGGAATGATCTAAATTGTCTCATATGTAAATATATCTTAAACTTTTATCTTGGACCATACTTGTGAAAACGTGATTTTCACTTCTTGTAAATCATTTAGATGACAAATCTTAACTGGCACACGTAACGCGTTTGCATCTTGCAACCAAATCAACCTAAGACATAGAGCATACACATAATACAATAATATGTCTGTCGCATATATTTCATGTTTTACATTAGTTGCTACTAAGAAAACGTGATTAATCTGAACGTGTGTACTGTCTCTCCTTTGATTGCCCAGGTATTCGATATAACCTTTATCAACAATGTTGTAAAGTTAGGTCAATTAGAAAACAACACATCTTGGTGATAATACCAACTGGTTACATTGGTTAATACGTGTGTTTAATATGAGGGACCTCGTTCATTTAATGAAGACAATTGGTATCTTTTGCTCAACCATCACAATGTGATTTAGGATGTACCACTGGATTCCATTGGATGTTAATACTCCACTTTTGCATTACATGTACAATATTCATGACGCAATTTGAGAAGTATATTATCAGTACATGTCTGACTTTAAACAATGTCGGTATCCACTGGCAAGATGTTGCAAAATTACACGGGGATATTAAAGTAATTCATTTCATTTCATATTGATGTACTAATACATGCAGATATTCATAAATACATCCTGAAAAAGAAATTTAAAAACGACTACTTACATTATACATGTAGACTATTTTTCAGTCGTTTCTATGTGTTTTAACCCATGAATAAGCATATAAAACAATGACTGTTTCTAATTTTGGTTTCTTCTGTTTTCAGCCATACATCAAATTCAGACGTTTTGCACGTGCTGTCAAAATGCTGATAAGTGTATGTCAGGTGTGTCAAAGGTAAGACCCAATAGTATATCTTGCATGTAGCAAACATTAATTAATTAATTAATTAATTATAACAAAACATATATTGTTCTGATATCGGTTTTTCTAATTTAAACTTATAAACAGGTGACTCTTGTTTGGCCACCAGCAATGAGCATGACTACTAGAATGTACAGAACGTTTAATCCAATAGTTGGTACCCAATATATTATAGCAATGTAACATATCCAATCGTTTTAATATGATATAGATGAAATAGTTATCCAACATGTTCGTTGTCTGTGTACTGCAGCTTATTGAGAAACAACGTGTCCCAGGAGAACTGGTTTGCATTACTTGACAACCTTAACGCCGCAGCCATGCAGCAGTCTCAGAAAAAACGCAAAGCGTTCGTGACTCTTGTCCCTGACGAAAACAGACAACTTGTGACACTCACGTTTGATGCCAATGACTACAAAAGCAATGTTCAATCAGATGTGAGTATTATGATTTTATTTGCCATTTCAACCTTTTTTATGATAATAAGGTCATGTCAATTAAGTGATGGTGACAGTGCTGATTGATTAGCGTTATATATCGGGTCTTAGTGACAAACATAAGGCACACTTCTTACTATGCATACAAGACCATGTAAACAATATATCATGCGTATCTTTAAAATCAAAGTTTATGTATTAAAATTAAAATTCTGAACCAGGTTTTATATATTTATATAGTATAGATATCAATATTCAATTTTTAGGTTATAAGCATGTATCATAATTATGTATAAATCTAACAAAATGTTCCACGATATTGTGACATACCCGGGACTGCTATATTTTGTTTTGTTTTACCCCACAGGAGCTGCTGACCGATGACATAAAAGAGGTGATGAAACAAAAACCAGGTACCCGGTCTCAACACGACGTAGAAAAGGTTGGTGTTGCTTTATTTATCTTGCAAGCAGGCAGCTCAACAGCTACTTACAGGTTCCTGTTTGTATCCTTGCGTATAACACCGACTTGCAATTTATAAATCTAGTTAATCTTGTCGATATACTAAACATGAAGTAATGCTTTATCTTATGTAAAACTAATAAGCATAAGCTATTACATTGTAGTACACGAAATGATGATTTCATGACTACTGATATTTTGGCATACTAATGTGGCAAGTCGAGGTCTCACCTTAGCCCTACCATGGTAAAAACTCGCTGTATCTTATTACTTGATTTTTATCTCGGCAGAAGTTCCCTCTGAAAATTTGATTGAATGTCGGCATAATTCACACATTGTTGAGACATGACTTTACAATATGTCGACATCTTCTCAGATAATGGGGACATGATTTTAAAATCTTGTCGGCATACCTAACTCATGTATCGCCAACAGAATGATGCCACCATAGAGCTTATATTTACTCATTCTTTGAACATAGGGATATCAAACGGCCAAAAACATTTATTTAAATCTTATCATACAATATATACGTACTTATAAATGCATTTTCGATTACTGTACTCTGCTTATATGTGTATGTTTTGTTTCTCAGGTAGTACGATGTATAAAAGGAATATGCAAATCATTCCGGGAATATCCTCTCTCCATTCAGAAAGAAATAGTACAGAAGGCCTTCCTAGACACGTAAGTCAAATAAAGGATTCAAACACGTATTTGCTAACAAACAGATTTTAGAGAATTAGAGTCAGTTGAAGTTCGTTTTGAATGATTGACATAAATCAGGTTTTCACTATGACAGACAAAAGTGAAAACAATTTAGTATTGTGAAAATAATTATACTTTTATGTAATTACAAAGTTAAGATAATCATTCTTAAAAAGGTGGTTTATACGTCACTTATAATTTACCCTGCCTTAAGCTGGACAGTGTCATAACGTAATGCTCATTATACAGTGTGCAAAGGGCAATAAGGTAGTTCAAGGATGGATCGGCGATTCATAAAATAATGAATGGAAGCATTGACAAGAGTAGCCTACCTGTTTCGGTTACCTTTAATGCACCAACCTTTAAACTGCCATATCGCTAGAATACTATGCAGTATTTGTTACAATTTACTGAATGGGGAGAGAGGAGACAACTCGCAATTGAATCATAACGTAAAATATATCGAGACGTCAAAATACGCTAAATCGACCTGAAGCCCATATCAATAGTTCGATATGAAAACATAGCAACACATACATTGTGTATGATGTAGATTAATGTACCTCAAAGTAGAAGGTATTTAACTTCACCACATTGTTGAGAGAGAGTAAATCGGAATATATCAGCAGTTTCGGCATATGATCATATTCTTGTTTATATTTTGTAAGTCATTAGCAACAAACATGCATATATTTTAATAAAAGATTAAATCGGAACTTCAAAACACAGTATTTCCGCTAGAAAGTGTCAAATACTACACATCGGACAAACCGTTTACAAACTGTACTACACAACATACACACATTGTAAATATACAATCTAACTGCATTCCAGAAAATGTTTATAAAAACTGTGCTACATGACAAACAAACTAATGAAAAGTTGTGCTACATGACAGACAAACAACTAAAAAGCTGTGCTTTATGACAGACAAACTAATGATAAACTGTGCTACACGACAGACAATCCATTGATAAACTGTGCTACACAACAGACAAATCATCTACAAATTGAACTACACAACAGACATGTCATTCATAAAACGTACTACACAACAGACAAATCAACTACAAACTGTACTACACAACAGACAACTAATCAACAACCCGTACTACACAACAGACAAATAATCTGCAAACTGTGCTTTACAACAGACAAATCATTTACAAACTGTACTACACAACAGACAAATCATTTACAAACTGTGCTTCACAACAGACAAATTATCTACAAATTGAACTACACAACAGACATGTCATTCATAAAACGTACTACACAACAGACAAATCAACTACAAACTGTACTACACAACAGACAACTAATCAACAACCCGTACTACACAACAGACAAATAATCTGCAAACTGTGCTTTACAACAGACAAATCATTTACAAACTGTACTACACAACAGACAAATCATTTACAAACTGTGCTTCACAACAGACAAATTATCTACAAATTGAACTACACAACAGACATGTCATTCATAAAACGTACTACACAACAGACAAATCAACTACAAACTGTACTACACAACAGACAACTAATCAACAACCCGTACTACACAACAGACATATAATCTGCAAACTGTGCTTTACAACAGACAAATCATTTACAAACTGTACTACACAACAGACAAATCATTTACAAACTGTGCTTCACAACAGACAAATTATCTACAAATTGAACTACACAACAGACATGTCATTCATAAAACGTACTACACAACAGACAAATCAACTACAAACTGTACTACACAACAGACAACTAATCAACAACCCGTACTACACAACAGACATTTAATCTGCAAACTGTGCTTCACAACAGACAAATCATTTACAATCAGTGCTTCACAACAGACAAATCATTTACAAACTGTACTACACAACAGACAAATCATTTACAAACTGTGCTTCACAACAGACAAATCATTTACAAACTGTACTACCCAACAGACAAATCAACTACAAACTGTACTACACAACAGACAAATCAACTACAAACTGTGCTTCACCACAGACAAATCAACTACAAACTGTACTACACAACAGACATGTAATCTACAAACTGTACTACACAACAGACAAGTCTTTTACAAACTGTACTACACAACAGACAAATCATTTACAAACTGTACTACACAACAGACAAATCATTTACAAACTGTACTACACAACAGACAAATAATCAACAACCCGTACTACACAACAGACAAATCATTTACAAATTGTGCTTCACAACAGACAAATAATCAACAACCCGTACTACACAACAGACATATAATCTACAAACTGTACTACACAACAGACAAATCTTTTACAAACTGTACTACACAACAGACAAATCAACTACAAACTGTACTACCCAACAGACAAATCAACTACAAACTGTACTACACAACAGACATATAATCTACAAGCTGTGCTTCACAACAGACAAATCATTTACAAACTGTATTACGCAACAGACAAATAATCAACAAACCGTACTACACAACAGACATATAATCTACAAACTGTGCTTCACAACAGACAAATCAACTACAAACTGTACTACACAACAGACAAATTATTTACAAACTGTACTACACAACAGACAAATCTTTTACAAACTATACTACACAACAGACAAATCAACTACAAACTGTACTACCCAACAGACAAATCAACTACAAACTGTACTACACAACAGACAAATCATTTACAAACTGTACTACACAACAGACAAATCAACAACAAACTGTACTACCCAACACACAAATCAACTACAAACTGTATTACACAACAGACATGTAATCTACAAACTGTACTACACAACAGACAAATCATTTACAAACTGTACTACACAACAGACAAATCAACTACAAACTGTACTACCCAACAGACAAATCAACTACAAACTGTATTACACAACAGACATGTAATCTACAAACTGTACTACACAACAGACAAGTCATCTACAAACTGTACTACACAACAGACAAATAATCTACAAACTGTACTACACAACAGACAAATCATTTACAAACTGTACTACACAACAGACAAATCAACTACAAACTGTACTACCCAACAGACAAATCAACTACAAACTGTATTACACAACAGACATGTAATCTACAAACTGTACTACACAACAGACAAGTCATTTACAAACTGTACTACACAACAGACAAATAATCTACAAACTGTACTACACAACAGACAAATCATTTACAAACTGTACTACACAACAGACAAATCAACTACAAACTGTACTACCCAACAGACAAATCAACTACAAACTGTATTACACAACAGACATGTAATCTACAAACTGTACTACACAACAGACAAGTCATCTACAAACTGTACTACACAACAGACAAATAATCTACAAACTGTACTACACAACAGACAAATCATTTACAAACTGTACTACACAACAGACAAATCAACTACAAACTGTTTTACACAACAGACAAATCAACTACAAACTGTATTACACAACAGACATGTAATCTACAAACTGTACTACACAACAGACAAGTCATTTACAAACTGTACTACACAACAGACAAATAATCTACAAACTGTACTACACAACAGACAAATCATCTACAAACTGTACTACACAACAGACAAATCAACTACAAACTGTACTACACAACAGACAAATCAACTACAAACTGTACTACACAACAGACAAATCAACTACAAACTGTACTACACAACAGACAAATCAACTACAAACTGTACTACACAACAGACAAATCAACTACAAACTGTACTACACAACAGACAAATCAACTACAAACTGTACTACACAACAGACAAATCAACTACAAACTGTACTACACAACAGACAAATCAACTACAAACTGTACTACACAACAGACAAATCAACTACAAACTGTACTACACAACAGACAAATCAACTACAAACTGTACTACACAACAGACAAATCAACTACAAACTGTACTACACAACAGACAAATCAACTACAAACTGTACTACACAACAGACAAATCAACTACAAACTGTACTACACAACAGACAAATCAACTACAAACTGTACTACACAACAGACAAATCAACTACAAACTGTACTACACAACAGACAAATCAACTACAAACTGTACTACACAACAGACAAATCAACTACAAACTGTACTACACAACAGACAAATCAACTACAAACTGTACTACACAACAGACAAATCAACTACAAACTGTACTACACAACAGACAAATCAACTACAAACTGTACTACACAACAGACAAATCAACTACAAACTGTACTACACAACAGACAAATCAACTACAAACTGTACTACACAACAGACAAATCAACTACAAACTGTACTACACAACAGACAAATCAACTACAAACTGTACTACACAACAGACAAATCAACTACAAACTGTACTACACAACAGACAAATCAACTACAAACTGTACTACACAACAGACAAATCAACTACAAACTGTACTACACAACAGACAAATCAACTACAAACTGTACTACACAACAGACAAATCAACTACAAACTGTACTACACAACAGACAAATCAACTACAAACTGTACTACACAACAGACAAATCAACTACAAACTGTACTACACAACAGACAAATCAACTACAAACTGTACTACACAACAGACAAATCAACTACAAACTGTACTACACAACAGACAAATCAACTACAAACTGTACTACACAACAGACAAATCAACTACAAACTGTACTACACAACAGACAAATCAACTACAAACTGTACTACACAACAGACAAATCAACTACAAACTGTGCTTCACAACAGACAAATCAACTACAAACTGTACTACACAACAGACAAATCAACTACAAACTGTACTACCCAACAGACAAATCAACTACAAACTGTACTACACAACAGACAAATCAACTACAAACTGTGCTTCACAACAGACAAATCAACTACAAACTGTACTACACAACAACCAACTCATTCATTATGTACTACACAACAGACAAATCAACTACAAACTGTACTACACAACAGACAAATCAACTACAAACTGTACTACACAACAGACAAATCAACTACAAACTGTACTACACAACAGACAAATCAACTACAAACTGTACTACACAACAGACAAATCAACTACAAACTGTACTACACAACAGACAAATCAACTACAAACTGTACTACACAACAGACAAATCAACTACAAACTGTACTACACAACAGACAAATCAACTACAAACTGTACTACACAACAGACAAATCAACTACAAACTGTACTACACAACAGACAAATCAACTACAAACTGTGCTTCACAACAGACAAATCAACTACAAACTGTACTACACAACAGACAAATCAACTACAAACTGTGCTTCACAACAGACAAATCAACTACAAACTGTACTACACAACAACCAAGTCATTCATTAAGTACTACACAACAGACAAATCAACTACAAACTGTACTACATAACAGACAAGTCATTTACAAACTGTACTATACCACAGACAAATCAACTACAAACTGTGCTACACAACAGACAAATCAACTACAAACTGTGTTTCACAACAGACAAATCAACTACAAACTGTACTACACAACAGACAAATCAACTACAAACTGTACTACATAACAGACAAGTCATTTACAAACTGTACTATACCACAGACAAATCAACTACAAACTGTGCTACACAACAGACAAATCAACTACAAACTGTGCTTTACAACAGACATATAATCTACAAACTGTACTACACAACAGACAAGTAATTCATTAAGTACTACACAACAGACAAATCAACTACAAACTGTACTACATAACAGACAAATCATTAACAAACTGTACTACACAACAGACAAATCATTTACAAAATGTACTACACAACAGACAAAGCATATATAAACTGTGCTACACAACAAACAAATCATCTACAAACTGTGCTACACGACAGAAAAAAACACTGACAACCTGTAGAAGACATAATTAACAGTACACCTGCGTATTACTATTGACTTCTTTATATATCTAAATCCGGGAAACATTCAGATTTAGGTCCCGTATATTTGAGACATAACACAAACTTATGCGAAAGCTTTATGGAATTATTTTATTGTACAATGGTGGGAGGGAAATGGTACGTGACCAAATCAATATTTCATGTATAACAGTTTCGTATATGACTATGACGAGTTGTCTCCCGTGATACATTGTTTGCGGTGTCTAGCTATAATCCTACATAGCTATTTTGTTGCTATTTAGGGTAAAAGGTGCAGTTTTATGGTTTATGGTTTATAGAATTTATATTTTATGAATGTTACATCAGCATGTATAATAATGACCTTTAACATTGTGGCAGTTACCTTGTTCGAGATAACAATGTAAACTTGTTCGAGATAAAAATGCAATTGTTATGATCACTTTTCAGATATAAACACAACAGGGTGATATTGAAGAAAGGCCTTCCTTCTGATGGTATATACTTCGTGCTAAGGGGAGCATGTAAGTACTTTATACAAATGTTCGTAGCTCACGATGACATTACGCTGTAACATTTTGCCATATGCATTATATGTTTCCATCTCATTTTTATAAACTAATTTAAATAAACACATATGTAGAAATACATAAAAACTGCTAAAAAGACACGCGTAATACCATAGGGTCAGAGATGCACATTTGTACACTAATTGTATGTATGGAAGGTCATATACACGATGATAACATATTCATTTATTATGTAAGTTTTCTTTGGAGTTCCATCCCACTGTTGCACAAGCCCTGCTTAAGAAGTTATAAGTTAAGGGACATTTCCAATAAATTCGATAATCATTTCCTATGAAACAAACAAACGTTGATGAGCGTTCATTAAATATTGGGCCAGTCAGTGTATTGATTATGACCAAAAATACCAGTATATCAGTGTACAACAACACAAAACACGAAATTCTGTAGGTAAAGCTTTCTTCACTAACAGAACCCCTAAGTATATACACTCTATAACCTATTATACTCCTTTATTTACCATGCATAATGGGGGCCCGTTGCTGTCTGCAGATGTAGTGTTTATTTGGATAAAAAGAAACCTGCTATTATATTTCAATATCAAACCCTTTATTGACAACGTTCAGTAGGGAAGTGAACCCCGAAGTGTCTGGTTCCACCCGCTATTGTACTATTACTAAATCTGATACTAATCCATTGTCAGTGTTCATATATAAACTCGTACCATGAAACGCCTTGTTTACCTGTATCAGCGTACAGACCTTTAAAAGCTAGAAGCACGATTTCCATGTATTATAGCAAACCTGTGACAGTTTACGTATATCTACGTTGTCAAACCTTAGCGGTCACCTTATTACACAGCAGTTTTCAAGTCTTCCCAAAACAATTTTCTTCAGCAGATATTTTTTTCAATTGTCTATGTATCTAGAATTTAACTAATTAACGCTTGTTATTGTGAAAAGCTCTTATGCCACTCTACTCGCTTAAAGTAAAGGATATCGGTCGGATATGATCTGACAGCCGAAAAGACGATCCTGTGAATTAAATAATGTATAGAGAAATCAAACTATACCTACGTATAAACTACTTATAAAATAATTAATTTGTTTTGATGTATAGATAGTTTGCCAAAATTTGCAATCAAAAGCGGATTAATATGTGCAAAAATATTGATTGCTTTTTAAAAGCTTTCTTTATCGAACATTCAAACCTAGATTAGATGGATCTTTTCATATGGTAGGGAACATATTCAAATCCCCTGTCATGTATCATCAATGGGCTGGATAATTTACCAAAATTTTACATTCAAATGAGCTGGTTGTATTGTGAGTATAACGGTCCCATGACGCCTCTCATTTTAGCATACGGTCTCTAGCACAGTATTTATTGTTAAAACACTTAACGAAGGACATGTGCTGGTAGGTTTCAATCGGAGTATTGTAACGTATCAAATCGGACAATAGATCCCCGTAACCCACTTTATGCAATATCAGAACGTGCGAATAACTTGATGTAGAGGGAACGAAATCCGAGTTTCGTGTTTGTATACAAACACAATCGAGATCAATGTCAGAGCCTCCGTGATTCTGACTGTATGCATATTGGGTTATTTTGATTAGACTGAGGCGGCGATGTATCATAGTTTGTTAGGGTAAGTTATATATAAACGCACTTGTGTCATTTAGAGGTGTTTGGTAGGACGTACCTAATCAGGATATTTCATTTACAGTGATTGAGAAACCAGAAGGACGAAAGGCTCCCAGTGAAATACGTACAGGCGAAAAATTCGGGGTAAGTTCAGCTTTATTAACATTCAAGTAATGAAGGGTATATAAAATGTCTATATATAATTGTATTTAGACCGTAAACAAAACAAACTTTTAATAGAAATGACAGTATAGAACGCATTAAGAACAAGTTGAGTTGCATTTAGGGGAAAAAAACATTTAAAGATAATATAAAAAAAAAAATGGTTTGTATAAATCTGAGTTTGTATAAATCTGAGTAAAGAGAATGAGTTATATTCGCTCATGAGTAGGTCAGATTGCCGACGATTCAATTTGTTTTACTAACGTTGACCTCGTTTGTAATGGCATGCACATTTGGAGAAGCTTGATCTGTGATATTACGTATTATCAAGACCAATATATGTATTATCACTACAAGTGTAAGTTTTATATATGTGAATGCATGTAAACAGACACTTAGTGCACTAAGAAGTGTGTCATTCAAATGTTTTATCCGTCATAACATTGTAATACAAATCTTAAGGGGGCTGTTAAAAACTAGGTAAACAATGAATTACCTAATACAGCCGGTAGTGGTTTATTTGTAAAGTTCTAAAGGTGCTATTTAAACTTCGGTCGTTTACTGCATATACCTGTAAACACTTATGGCCAATGGTTGTAAATTTGTAAAGTTATAAAGGATTTCATTGACTCCTTCCACCTTTTACTGCATATGCTTCTTATCACTCAAGGCATCGATTTTCATTTCTATGGCGTTTTGCACCATTGACGATTAGTTATTACGTGTGACGCAATTTGAAATATATATTATCTAATAAAAACATGCGTGGTGTGGTCATATACAATATTACAATGTCTGCATCATTGTACAGATACCAATTACTATTAAATAGGAGCACATTTACTGTGTACATCGAGACCAATTTTACCTTGCGCATTGTACATTTTGCTGTAGGTGTTAGCTTTACTTACACACGTATCATATTTAGAGTGTGTTACATGTATGTATTTGCTTGATAACCACGTTATGTAATCGTGTCGGTTAATGCTGAAAGCAACGTTCAGCTAACTTTAACTAAAAATAACACCAATACCTCCTATGGTAAAGGATATGTACTGAAAGAAGTAATGGATTACGAAGTCAGTATTTTTGTCACATTATTATCACAGTTGGTCAGTATTTTTATTCTAGTGGAGATTCGACATCGACTTTCAAAATCTATATATGTATATAATTGAATATTTGTCTGAATTGTACAAATTATTGGCGAGGTTATTGAGATTTATAATTGCTATTTATTCGGACAATTTGCCCATTTTTTTTTACAAAATAAAGTATGTTGCGAAATTAGCAGCGATATAATAGGTTATAGTTTGTTATTCTTACATTTCCATGTTTGACATACAACGGCACGTTTTGTTGGACACTATACAGACTACAGACTAAATTATAGACCCAAAAGCTTGTGACAAATAACCTTTTTTTATTAAATAAAAATATCTAGAAAAAAACAGGTGATCGGTAACACAATACATACTGTTCCCACCTGTTGATCAGTAAGATAGAAATCGATAGCTGTGCGTGTGAAACACAATATATAGTCTGATCACATCAAACATGCGGATTAGGTTAAAAGTTATAAAAGATCTCTATCGTTGTGTAACATTGCCAAACGACTTCATGTGTCATGTCAGTTTTATTTACTTTGTACGCTACGGAATATGTCAACGTTGTAATGTATTGTCAGGTATCGTGTAGATACAATGCACTCCTAGTGAAGAGATTATACACGGGATGTGAGGATTCAAAACTTAATGTACTTATTCTTCATAGGAAGAAGATTTGGTGTGTGGCTGCGCTCGCCGGGGTACCGTCATCACTCGCCACGAGGCCGAGATTATATTCCTACACCGCTTTGTAAGTACAATGCTCAAATTGATTCATTTAATCCTAGTCTTTCTCGTTTTATTTTACAAAGTCCTTCAATCGTCAAAAGTGTTTGAATATTGTTTACGTGTAATTTACTGACATGGCAAATTGAAATGTATCATCCACAAATATCGTTATATTATTTATACAATAAATAAAACGGAGAGGTTTTTTTTTACGATGAGCTTATGCGGATTATGCTGATTGTAAATAGTAGGCTGAACTCGCTGCACTCATTCGCAAAGATAATACAACATATATAAATAATTAACAAGAATTGTCATTGGATAAATCGGAATGTGTTCTTAAGTCTCAGCTGAGTTGTAGGGTACACACCTTTCTCACATGTGTTTGATTTCCACTTGATTTCCACTCTTCTCCTGTCTACATGCAGGGGGTGGTAGGTTGTCCAAATGATTAGACCCAGGTGCGAAGTGCCCGCTTTAAGAATTTGCTCAACAAGATTTAATATCACTTGTTCCCTTTTGCTTTATAAGTATGCGTGTTTGCACAAAAAGTAAAGTATGAAACACATCAAGTGAGCGATCTATACATTCTCGTTGAATGATAAATGGTGTGGGTATAACATATATTTTAGTACATATATAAAAGGAACACATCTGCCTTTATCTTAGGAAAGGATTATGGGTATACCATGTGCCTATGATTTAAAGGGACACGTATCTTACGTCATCAATAATATTTTGTAGTATCATTTATCGTGCTAAGATAATTATATACTTGAATAGATAAAATATATCAACGGCCATAATACACAGACATCAATCCTATGCCATCATACTTGACTAAAATGAGACTCCGGTTTATGTAGTTCTGTTGATATAGTGGTGCGTGTACCTTCTTCAACCAGACAGCTATTGTGATGTATATGTTCGTACAAAATACGAGTGTTGGGGGTTGAATAAGACAATAACATAATCACGCCTACATTTAAAGATAACGTCTATGATACATTGTATAGTTTAATCACATTATTTATTTATTTTGAGACCTCGCAATCAATAGATGTAGCATTGTGTTTTAACACCCGATAGCGTTACCTCCACACCCCCCCCCNTTATTTTCTGACGGAAAACCTTTGCTGTCCATGCATATATCACATAGTGATACGTAACTGATCGTTTAATGAAAATCTTACAGCGAGTGATTTAAAACAATTGTGATGTTTATGGATTGATTATACGGTAGAGATTTATCTAGACCAAGTTTGATTGTGTTAGGTGCAGGTACTTGGGTCAGTTATTGAATTTCATTTTTACCGGTATTCGAATGTACAACATACACCTATCCAATATCCAAGTTAAATGTTTACATGATGGGCTTGTCGAGGGAATCATAAAGTGTGGCTGTTAATCTAGTTAATCTATTTGTGCGTTTAATTAAACAATATCTCATTTTAATTAAACTACTAATGTGATGTAGAAATGGTCGATTTTAAACAAAAAATATCAATATTAACGCAAAAAAACTCATATGATTTTTTTTTAAATATTTATGTCGCGTGATATGGATGCTTTAAGCTGCCTATACACTCTCAGACTAACACTCGGTATACCTGTTCATACACCTGGTAACTCGGTAGTGAGAAAAGGTAGCCAAAGACTATTATCCATTGAATGCTCCATCTCACTAGCCTCTCTATAGCCTGACCCTTAGTATTGTGTGGGCAAGTCCTATCGATATCGATATCAGTCGGAGCAGTGTTCCGTGAGAGTATTATCTTAACAAAGACGCACCCTATAGTTAGACCGATTGATTTACCTGGATTAATACGTATGTAAAGCTACAGAGTAATTTCTCTGATTCAGCTAGGAGTTTTCCGATGCGCGGCATACAATGGTATCTTATAATTGTACTGTGTATTGCTCCGACAGAAATATCGACAAATACTTGATTCATAATTGATGTTCTGCGTTCCCAGGAAAGCTGGTTCAGTTTTTTCAATCATGCGATCGTATATATCCAAGGATGTATAGACACAAAATGTACAGATAGTGCTGTGGTAGTACTGTGATATTTCCACTTGTTAATGATCTCAGATAGTCTTAGAAGACAATTTTCATGATGGATTTCTTCTCAAGCCTGTTCCAACCATTAACATTACAGGATTATATGGACATATTCAACATGTCTGCAGATTCGAATGATCCAAAGAATCTGGAAATATGCAAGTGAGTATATAAATGAATGGCATTTTCACCAATTAACCGTTGATGGAGATTAAAATTGGTAATTAAAACATAACAGCTTCTTTAGTATTAAGTCAATATTATGATAGCGATTATCATATAAATATCGATTGATGCGAACTTCAAATGAAAGCTTCCTATAAAGACAAATGTGATGACACCGTGACATTTATTTTTATAAAATACTTTGATATGTTATTTTTGCTACAAATGCAAGTTCAGTATATTATATTTGTACTTTTTTTTATAACAGGAAGAGTGTTGTACTCAGCCATTTCCCGATGCAGAAATTGGAGGAAAACCCCGGGACGTGGAGCGTGAGGAGATATAAGTAAATATTGTATTAATCGTTTCCATGGGTTCCTCGCTTGAACGTACACCCGTTATCGATGTTTCTAAGTTTCCTTTTGTCGTACAGAAACTATCGATTACATTTAGAAACTTGATACTCTCTCAGAAGTAGATTAACATATTGTTCCCAACTACTTCAAAATCATTTTAAATGACAACAGAAATAACGTTACCGTAAATATCAAATATTGAATTATTAATGCACACGTTTCCGGCTTGAAGGTATATCCATCATCCTACTTAGTTGTACAATGCAATTATATCAATTGACAACATCACATTGTGACAGTATGATTGGCATTCAGTCAATTCATTTCCATTTGTTATGATTACAGGACATACATATGTTAGGTCTCATAGTTTGAACATGTGGCTAGACCTATTTAGTCTACTCCAATAGAGTCCATGGTTAAAAAAGACAGGTTTAACAAGGTAAACCTTTAGCCGATCGACCAGTTCTCCAACATGTTCAATGAGGACCATTTAATACCATAGTTGTTTCTAGACATTGTATTCACATGGGACTGGTTTTTCTCTTTAAGATTTGTTTGTATTGTTACTAGTACGATAAGGACTATGAACAAGCTTATGATCTATTTTAGTAAGCTTATCATTCCAATTTAGCTTGCAAAACATGAAAAGTGAATTTACATGTCTGTATTACTAGGTACGGTCGCCTAATGGTCAAAGACAGCAATGAGATTGAGTGGATATTTGTTATCAAATCGGTAAGTCTATGTTTGCTAAGAACAGCAATGACGGGCATAAGTAAATATAATCTTCATAATGCAAATACATAAACATCGATGTCAAAGGAGCAATAATCAACGTATATATAGTCAGTTTTGTACAAGAGGATAGCAGTATTGTCCATCTCTTATCTTACTATGATTGCAATTATTTATCTTCCAAATTTTGTACTTTAAATTTATTAAGGTAAATATTTATTCTGTTTTTACGTATACTGCAAAGAGAAATGATGTCCTTTTTATTTATCTGTCAATCGTCAAACCAGCATTAAACATTTGCCTTATAATTATATAAGATGGTCATCTTATTTAAAAAGAATCGTTGTACGTGTTTGTTTTTCAGGGCGAGGCTCGAGTTCTCAGCCACCTTAAACCGGGCGTAATTAACGTCCGGAAACGTCGCAAAGAGATCCAAGCCGCCATGGAAGAAGAATCGCCGTACCACCGCAAAACCAAGATCCTGAATTTCATCGCCCAGAAGGACCACCGTTAGTGTATAATTACTTCTTTATTTCCCTGAAACAACTGCCTACATTAGATGTAATTGTTGTGTAAAGGAAAATCAATGAACTTCTAGAAATAACTCGGATCAAGTCAATAGTACATGAAAGGAATGCAAATTTGATGCATTGTGTATGCGATCATTGATCAATCGATCAGTTTTATCTCTGTAATTAGTCGGAAGTCATTAAATAACAAAGTATAGAACAGCCAAATCAAATGTAAATGTGATAACAAAACCAGTGCTAGTAACACGTGAAACTGGACTATCATTTCATATGGCGAAAACTATTCTGTTTGTGTGACCGGATGTTGCAAATTTAACAATGTGTGTAGTTGATACAATGTATATCATATTTCTTCAAAAGTGAAATCATCCTATGATCCGGCCTTGTACACGCCTGGTCCTCGGAGAACTTTGATGTCTGCCCCACCTGTATATGGTCATAGGGAATGCATGAAGGAGTTGGCCTACCGAGACTTCCCAGCCACACCTCGACCAAACAACTACCCGACTATGGCCGCCTTCCTCAACGCCAAGTCACAGGACTCCATGCATCTAAAACAAACTAGCAATGCAACGACAAAGCTGCCGCGGATAACGTTGAAAACGCCAGGCAACTCCGAAGGTCCCCTGGAAAGTAACCGACGGGAAATGGACGAAGTGATAGAAGACGATGAACAGACTACGAAAGACGATGAAAGCGTATCCAGAATGGACAACAACGAGACCCCTGTAGTGCTAGAGGAGATCAAAGACATCAGTGGAAAAACTAACTTTTATCAAAAAACAGGGAAAGACGGCCCATTGCCCCGACCGAAGTCTGAGGGTGCAAACAAAGAGAATAGGTTAAGATTAGCCAGAAAACAGTTTGGAAACGCACCCTTCATCAAACCGCGTCGTACGCGGGTAGATTCAGCCCACGAAAGAACTACAGAGCTTCCTCCGTTCGTTCAAGTGGAAACTCTTCATCAAGGACAGACATTTGTACGTATCTTATTTATTAAAGTTGTTCTACTATGGTATAGACAGCTGTATTAGCAGTTAATATCATTTCCACACACAGTGTACAGATAGTACGTTACTTAACCGTTACATTACTTACCGATCCGGGTATTTCAAGTTATTGTCAACTTTTCAACCACATGAACTGGGTTTTTTTTTTGCTTTATGACATCAATTATCTACAGCATTTATCTTAATTTCATCACATGAAAGAAACATTACAAACAAGCTGCTAAAAGTGTGCAAATGAAGCTTTAAATACGGATTAGTTTTAGATATACTGACATGTAATATACATCAACGCAAGAAAGAAGTAACATATATGGCATACAAGATAGATGATTAAACGTGGGACACGTCATAAATTGACTATTCCACATAGACACTAATTGAAATAACTAAGTTAACTAATAAATTATTCGAAATATATAACCAAATCATAAAATGTAGATTGTATTGTGTCCATTTCAGTTTCTGTTGGAGGATATGATTTGAAAACATTTTTTCATATGTATTATTGTTGTGTTTTCCCCAGGGGCTGAGGTCGTGTTTAGATATGAGCGACAGGGGACCATCCGTGAGCCTGGTATGTAATTAACCAACACAGCACCGTGGTGCAGTATAAAAGAATACGCATATCCCATCGGGGGTAGCTCTATTGAAGATATATTACTCTTACAAAACCAGTATTCAACACAAAAATGAGGTAGTTAAGGTATTTAGCTTTGTATATATATATACAAAAGATAGCATACATATCACAATCTATATATGCTAATATGTCTGTGAACGATGACTAAAGTGGCAATGCAAAATGTTCCTTAGTTCTGCGTGTGTCGTCCTCACACTGTTAAAGATTTTGTTTGAAGTGTGGCTATTGTTGTAGGTTATTGAAGCATTTAACTTGTTTCACATTGAAACTCATGGTCAGTATAAATGCTAAGTGCATTAAAGGAAGAATCCTATAAAAGATCTATATAACATGTTTTTTTTAAATATCTACAGGGGTGACAATATCCATAGTAAATTGACGCTCAGTTCTATAAATAAGTAGCACAATTATCTATCCGTGAGCTACATGTACAGTACTGTAGTAGTAGCAGTAGTAGTAGTAGTAGTAGTAGTAGTAGTAGTGGTAGTGGTGGTGGTAGTAGTGGTGGTAGTAGTAGTAGTAGTAGGAGTAGTAGTGGCAATCGTAGTAGTAGTAGTAGTAGTAGTCAGCGTTAAAAGTATGATGACGTCAATTGCAACATGTTGGGTACTGTCTTTTACTGCGCTTTTTGGCAATATATTTGCTTGGTTAAGATACACATATATAGCGATAATACAGATGTACTATGCAATTGGAATTTGATAGAAAAACAAAACATCATGTTCTGCACTTTGTTGATATAGGTAAGTGGTGACTGCGAAGTCCTTGCCATCAACAAGAAGTTCTTCCTGAAACATTGTGATGACGCCATGTTTAGTCTCATCCGCTTAAAAGTAAGTATATAATTTGCATACGCGTAAACTATACTGGAAGCATTGATAAGCATAATTGATTGGAACAATACGCTCTTTGTAGAAACATTGTCCTTGATACATAGATATGAAAGATATGAAATCTGAAATGCACATTGTAAACTTGAACTGACATCTGTAGCGTTTTGTATTTGGTTGTTTTGATATGCATGCTATTTTACCAAGATCAAACAGAAAACAATCTACACCTCTTCTGTACCGTGCGACTAATTAGTATGTATCTCTGTTTCTCTAACAGGCTAAACCGTTTCCCACACAACAGGAGCTCATAGACAGACTTGATATCACAATGCGCTGGGACGAATACAAAAAGGAGACGGTCAGGGACTTTATCAACTTCAAAATATCTAGATCAGAGAAAAGATAATGTTTGAAGAGGCTTGAGTTTTGAAACTTTTGGACCGGACATACACTGCTTGCTATAGCTGTTGTTTTTTGCAGTGTTTGTTGTTCATCCGTCATATTGAATGCGAATTAAATCCATGACGATGTTGTGATAGTCAGTGATATATTCGTCTTCAAAATTTCATATCACACCAGTGGTGCACCATCTCGCCTGGATTTCCCCAAAGCGGGATTGAATGTGTGGTATGAGATGTATTAGTGCTTGTTCTGTAGAGCCTTTAGTGTTTCCACCATAAGGTATTAGCATTACCCAATTACGTCATGACTACAACTTGGATTATCTTATCATTAAGTGCAAATGACGAGGAGTCAGCGACAGATATGCTGGATTATTCTATCAATGTTTTACAAAACCAACCTGTGTGTGATTTTATGTGGTAAAAAAAAGCTGGAAACTTTTTTGTTCGTCGACAATGGACACCGCTTTGAACATAATTGCACCTTGATGTTGCGACACGCTATATTGTTTTTGGTTGGAAACTTTAATCATACAAAATATGGCTTCCTTGACACGATGTGAACGTTCTTGTAGAAACGTTTATTTGCTAGTTTATTTTTAAATTGTTAAATGACAACCAGCAATCATCTTTTCTTTCGAAATTAGGATATTACTGGAGTTAAATGCCACACGGAGAAACAGTTCCATTCATTGGGGCACTTCTGTTTATAGTAAAAAATAGTCACGATACTTTAGCGAGCACCTTCTGCTGCATGTTCTGAGATCGGTTATACTTGTGTGTTTTAACATTATGGAAATTTTCCAAATATATCTCTGGTCATTGTCCAGACATATCGGATGATACAGGTTAGATACACTTATTTTCGAAATGAAGGGTCTTCCAAGTGTATTTTCAATTCAGGATTATGCGTGCTTTGCATATGGAAGTTGGTGTACAGAGCAATTTACACGTCACGTGTGAACAGATGTTTCGCATTGACCTGTATCACGGAATCAGGAAACATGTGCATTATAGCCAGTGGTCATATATAAAATTGTTGATGCATTTTTTGTTTTACCTTTGCTGTGTTGCACGCATACGATAGCTTCTAGAATAATTTCAATAGTGTCCATTTACCTGTTCAATTTGCTTTTAGTGCTCTCTTTTTTACCTTATCATCGTCGTCTAAATATATACACTTTGTAGTTCGACAGGTTCATTGATTAATTGTGCTTCCCAAACCTCTGGATTTAACACTCCAATCCATATACATTAGTATAATTTCATTTGTTCTATCGATTCTGAAGAATAATGTTTACTCGTTAATGCTTTAATACACACCCCTGGTATGTAGTGAACGTGCTTGTGTAATTTGTCATGCTCAATAATTATGATAAAATCTGTAGTACTGTACAGTGTACCTAAACGCACTTTTGATAGACCGATAGCGATGTTTCTTATAGTCAACCGTAAGGTCATCATCAGTGCAACATAAAAATGTACACGACGTCATGGTGGTAAACACACATTTTCCCAGGGTGTTGAATATAGTGTACTTTGATATATTAGCATTCAGTATTGTTTAATATAAAATATTTCTTCGACTACATTTCCATAATTTCTACAAAGGAGTTAAAACTAAGTTTCTCCTGCTATTTGTCGACCAAAAAGCTCACTCAATAATAAAATAGCTGGGGTCATTTGTATAAAACATCTCACAGTTAAGGAAAATCTCAAGCAATGTATTGTCTATGGGAAATCTTAGACTTGAGGAAATCTCAAGAGTTGAGATGTTTTATACAAGTGGGCCATAGAAACATTGCCTTGTAGAGAAGGTATACTAGCTGAATGCCATTATACAAGTACCTCATGTGATGTTAACATTTGACAATCTAACAACACGTCAGAATCGTTTAGACCGGCACTATGCTCAAATAACGGTTAACGGATAATGAGCTGTTGCAAAAGTGGCACAATTTCTTTTCTATCTGGACATATCTTATCCAAAATTAACGCCAGAAGACCTTTATATATATGGTGCCATTTCATCTAGACAGAAGATACACTTTTCACGCGAGATCGCAATATTAATAGTAAATATTAGTAGATTTAAACTGTAAAGCTAGCTGCCGGTAACTATTGTGCGTTTACTAAACTAATGGTAGTTCTGAATAAGTTCGTTTGTTCAATAAGTGCTAAGTCTGTTTTGTAACTAAACAGCATCACCGTCAAATGTTCTACCAGATTCTTTTTACTCGCATTTAGGCGAACATTCATCATGATGTGTCCTAGTTCATTCTAGAACATTTTTTTTACATTTGGAAAATTGAAGCAGCGCCTTTCTTCAAAACGCAATACGCAGCTCTATTAAACCACATCAAAGTAAATGGGGAAAATAAATCGAAACAAAACATCTGGACTAATTAAAATTAGTCCAAACTGATATTCGGAAAAAACTCTTTTGCTGGATTATTGCGCCAAGGCAAAAAAGTAATTTCCAAAAAGACATTTTTCAGATATGATATGACTTGTATGTATATACTATCATGCATTAAAAACATCGACAAATAAAAGAAATATTTGAGAAAACACGCGTAAAATGTTTTGTGGTAAACTGGCATAATTTCAAACCGTTTTCACAACCCCAGTTCTCACTTTCAATTTTGGTCATGACACTACTAGTATCTGATCTAAATTTGTGGAGTTGTCGGTCTTACTTTCCATGTACTATTTAAAGATGTTCATGCAAATGTTCTTTTTTGTTCATACTGTATGTTACAGGTGTACCCAGTTATTTGCTTCCGAGTTCGAATTGCGTTTCATTTTTTTGTATTATCTGGTTGTATTTTGTTCAATGTTTACCATCGTCATACCTTGCATATTAACAGTTTGCTGTTAAACTCGTTTTTATTTTGTTTCTCTTTTTTGTTTTTGTTTTTGCTGTTTAATTGACATTACATTCATGTTATTTTTACCAAACAGTATTAATGTATGTAAAATAAAGCACAAATGAAGCATGATGTAATATTGTTGTTTGTCGATTGCAAGGTAAAACACAAATACATACAGAAAAACAAAAGGAAAGAGAAAGACATCTGCTAACCTTTATGGTTATATAGATTCTTCTCTTCACGGTTAGTGCTAGCGCATCGGTTAAAAGGTTGGTATCTCAGCCTTTTGAAAGTATGACCCAAGGACTAGTCAAGTTCCGATGGGCGGGATGAGATAAAGGGGTCTATCCGGCTAGCATGAATGTGTTGGTCCATATCCCCTGCACTGGGAACAACAATTAATATGTAAACACAAAGGGAGCGGGTTGGACACTGTGGCCAATCCTGGTAGACTGTTGTATTCCTTTCGTCACGCTCATTTTATGTGTGTAGTAGGGATCTCGAATATTCTAAACTAGTGCATCTGTGTACCCACGTTAGTTAATATACGTTAAGTCGTTTATACAGTAGTACAGTTTGACAGAAGGACGCGTACGGTGGATGGTCAGATGAACAACGGGCGCTGTGCCACGGCATAGGTTTACTTGACCCTTTGAAGGCATCCACGATCCACACAAATATCCCGACGAGTTTGTGTGGATGTAAAGGCACCCTTGGATGTTGCCCGAGTTTCCTCTGGTCCTAACACCAGACTTACAGTGTGCCCCGCACCAGACATCTATATGTCAAATCGTCTAAGTCTGGTGTTAGGGCCAGATGAGACTTAGACAGACATCTATATGTCAAAATGTCTAAGTCTGGAGGTGTTAGGGCCAGAGGAAACTCGGGCAGACATCTATATGTCAAAATGTCTAAGTCTGGTGGTGTTAGGGCCAGAGGAAACTCGGGTTACTTTGGATGTTGGATAACGGTTTATTGACCATTTGTATTTTCTTTCTTTTAATTAATCACCATATAACTAACTCCTTGTCGGTGTTGCTGCTAGTGGATTCAATTATTTATCCGTAGGTCTTATTAAATGTGTTTCGAGGTTTTATTGAAAGGAATCGACCCTAATTCCTGCATTATTTTACATGTTTAGATATTGCATTTTCAGACTCCTATCTCGTGCGTTTTACATTTCGAACGTTTTGGCCTCTAAAAGTCCTTAGAAATGGTAGTTGTTATTCCCTTCTTAACGTTCATCATTGAGGGTAATGGCAACAACTGGTTGACCCGTTGTCAGTATATTGTGACAGGGCGGAATGCTGTGCTTGGTACCTTCGGAAAGGTGTTTCAGTGAGATAGCACAATACAATCGGCATCAGATCCGCGCTGTTACAAGAAGGCAAGTACACTAACATACCCTGTCTCCAGCATGCATACACACTTGCACGCTTACACGCACATGAAGTCACGTCCTTAAATACCCTTAGATATTAATAGAACGTTTAACAAAATAAAACCAAACCATCCAATACACTGCTTTTTTATCAATTGAAAACTGAATTTGGTTTATCTGGTTTTTATAACATAACGGCAGTATGCAAGTTCGGGAATTTTTCAACACTTTTTTTCCTGACCCTTGATGTACATGTATATACAGTTACGTACATGTACGTGTATGTACATGTATATATCAGTAGTCGTATCGGGAAAAAAAGTGTGACGATAATATTGATTTAGATTAATAGATAAAGGTGCCTTCAGAGATGAAAGCGGCTGTCTCCTGTTAAAATATAGAAATATACTCTTCAAAACTGAATGTCTACAGTAAAAAGAGTGGTACATTAAAAATGAGAGAGATAATGACTGTTAACTATATGAACATGGTATTCATTTAACGTGGTTTTCAGGTTAAACAGCATACTAGTACAACGGTTTATCACGTCACCTCATACATAATTGACTTGGACGTCATGTAGCTATAGCTTGACGACAGAATGTTATAGTATACGTTGATTGGAAGTCGTTTGGATGTATTATTAAAGTGGATGCCTTCTGAATATCCACACATAACACGTACCACTGTCGTTAACACACAATGTACAGGGTAAGGTATTAATTACGATCATTGTAGTTGAACCAAATTGTCTGTTCGAATTGCATACACGAAGGTCTGACGCTTGTGCACGAGATGTTGTATTGTGTAAGTTTAAAGAAAGTTGTTTGTTGGTAAATCCAATCAATAACCACTCCTCTATAGCTACTTAAAGCATCGTAAAGGAGACATGGTATAGTCTAGTGGTAGCAGACACCGGGCTCGTGACCGAAAATTTGCAGGTTCGAGTCACGGCCGGCTCGGCACTGCGTTGTGTCTTTGAAGAAGATGCTTTACACTGCTTGATGCAGTCTACTCAGCTGTAAATGAGTACGTGGTTGGGCAGTGCTAGAATTGTTGAATGCTAGCTAGCTGTGAGGGCCAAAATGGCAGCACCGGCTGTATGCTCCCCAGGGAGTTGAGAAAGATATTGGCTGGTTGCAAAGGCCCTATAACCACGATAATAATGTGTGAACCGCTTTAAGACGAACTAGGTTGTGATAAAGCGGTATATTAGAACCTTCAATTATCATCATTATTATATATATATCATCTGCCCGGTTTATCTAGTTCTGGTTAATATTATTCAACTTCTATTATTTAAATTCCAAGTTAATGGATTATAGACAGCATTAACTTATAAGGAAAACTGGTGAAATGCTGTCAGATCTTGCTGAATGTTTTCACCACGAAGTTTTACATTAAATCAGTGCAAATGAAATACTAATATTACACCAACTACAGAGTTGCATAATATGTGTTTTACATGGCGTCATCGTCAATGTAACCAGCTAGCTGGAAGAGAAATTGATTATTAATTTATTTTCATAAATAAGGTCCATATTTTCTTTTGTTTGTGAAGCTTGGATGCTCTTTAGAAGTCAAACTGTGGTAGATCCGACATCCATTTTGACAGCTACCGGTGTTGATTGATCAAGTGCCAGAGGTATTCCCGATTAAAATCTCTCACGGATACTTTTCACTGTAGACTTTAATCATTACATCTTCCTTACCAAAGAGATTCAATTACTTTTTTAAAGGCTCTGAAAGCTCTTAACCATGATACTTGTACTTGACAGCTATATAAACTTGAACATATATAATATGTATCAGCACAATTCAATTATTTGTTCTCTTAAAGTGCTTTTTACTTCAAAATCACCACCACCTATCACTTTATCTAATACATATTTAAAATATGCAAGTCATGTGTGTTGATGACAAGTTATCATAAACAACAATTCCACAGGAGTGGATGTGTCGCCTGCTCAGCGCTTTTAGTGAGAAAAGTGTTTTGGACTGAAGTTATCCGTAAACAAGAAATAATAAACGGCAAAAACGGTGAACAGTGTTGCTTTGTAAAGCGTGATATGCCAAAACGTGAAAAGTTGAAACTTGACAGAAAAACCTGTAATATATGTGGAACATTATTGCTTCTAGCATTACCGTACGAAATTTGAAAGGAATTGATAAAAAATAAATAAAAAGTTTTTGCATTTACTACACAATGCAATTATTTGGCAATAAAAGGGGCATAACTCCACTAAAATTGCATATAAACTTCTAAAATGCAAACTCATCCGAGCTACATTGTATATTGGTATGCAATATGTGTACGACGTTTGAGTTGCATCAATCAACCCAAAGGAACTTAAATTTTGGCACAGAAACCTTGTTTTGGACAACACAACCAACGCCGACAAAGTAATACCTATATGTCACCTCACGTTGCAGGGGACACAAAAAGTAGATACCGCCTTGCGTTTGTATGTGTGTGTTGAAATAAGTAATACCATGTATGGCCACTCTGCAAGGCTGAGCTATTCTTATCTGGATTTGTAATTAAAATCTTGGAGTAGGATGTTGATATTCACCATAAGATAATTACCTGGTTCTTCAAATTCATACTGGTGTAAGATAAAACTGTACAAAAGACTACTTATCTTAACAGACTACCTGTGTTCAGACATTTATTTTAAAAATCCCTATTGCAGCTATTTTCTAGTTAACTGAACCCTGTATCAATGGACTTGGGACTTCCAGAGCATGGTCTCAGAATACAGAATTGACTGTTTGTCAGACACTAAATGTAAACAGCTGTGGCTGCACCTACCACATGCTTAGTGGTTCAAATGTGCTTTTATATTTTGCAGTACTCAAATTTAGTTTTATTTTTGGGTAAAATATTCATGTCCTACCATGTCAACTCATTAATCCCTGAAATTTCATAATGAATTATTCCAACCTTTGAATTGGAAGAGTTCAAATGTGTCTTCAGGGGTGAATGAGTTAAACATGTTAAGGATCCCTGCAAAACCCTAGAGAATTTCATTTTGGTCTATCCTATGGTGCCTGGAATTTGTATAGCATAGAGGCAGGGTATAGTCCAGTGGTAGGAGGCCTGGCTCGTGACCAAAGGGTTGTGGGTTCGAGTCATGTCACGAAACTGTGATGTATCTTTGAACAAGAAACTTTACTTCGCTTGTTCCAGTCTACTCGGCTGTAAATGAGTACGTGATTGGGCAGTGCTACAATTGTTGAATGTTAGCTGTGAGTGCTGGGATGGCAGCACGGGCTGTATGCTGATCCCATGGCCAGGGAGTTGAGAAAGAAATTGGCTGGTTGTAAAGGCTATAATAATCATAGATAATAATTTGTGAACCACTTCAAACTAGGTTGTGATAAAGCGGTATATAAGAACCTCGAATTATAATTATAATTTTTATAGAAAATACTTATTGTATAATGGAAACTGCAGGCAACTTCTTTCACACTTTTATTAAATAATTTCTTTTCACATCCCTTAATACAGTAATCATTATTTGCATCTTGAAAGGCAGTAGATCTAATCACATTTTACAGTTCAATGGAGTTCTAGGAAATGGTATTGTGTCTCTAATATTCCTCACACCGAGTAAGAACTGTAGATATCTCTCGAATCCCATACCGAATCCACCGTGTGGCACACTTCCGTACTTCCGTAAGTCAAGGTACCTGTGATATAAAACACATTGCCATAAAATATATTTATCTCCTCTTCAATATTTTAGTTGACAAACAGTAGAAGTACATTTTTTGAAATGCTGTAATGATTGGTTCAAAGCCCAAACCTTTTAGTGGAAACAACTAACAATTATTGTATGTAATATATAAATACACATTTTTACAACCACACGAATTTTGTATGACCTCTTGTCTCATTCTACTTGTCGCATTATATCTATGCCTGGGAAAGTTATCTGCTGGCATTGGAATCCCAATATGTTAACATTGATTTAACAAATACTGATGATTGTGTAATATATATGTATACAGACACTCACCAATGAAGCTGATCCTGCTGGCCTATATCTTTCAGCTTGCGCTCCAAATGGTCAAATCTGTGTTCCCTGAGAGTACCACCGAACAGTTCACCAACTTCAGGTACTAGTAGGTCCACGGCTCCAGCCTGCACAAGGGACAGAATGACTGATTCATAGGACGACTCAACTGTGGATGTTTATAACTTTAAGACATATGTTTTTGAAAGCACCCACTTGATGTTGTTAACAACAAATACAGACTCTTGTTTGGAATTAAACTCTTTAATTTAAGTTTTCATACAAAATTTCCACAGGAGTGGATTTGTCGCCTGATCAGCGCTTTTAGTGAGAAAAGTGTTATGGCTTGAGTTATCAAGTAAACAAGCATAAATAAACCGCAAAAACGATAAACAGCTTTGTAACTATGTCAAGTGCAATATTCCAAAATGCAGAAAGTTGACACAAGACAGAAAAAAACGTAAAATGTGTTGAACATTATTGCTTCTAGCATGACCATACAAAATTTGAAAGAAATTGATTAAAAAATAAAAAAAGTTCTTGCAGTTACTACACAATGCCCTTATTTGGCAATAAAAGGGGCATAACTCCACCAAATGCATGTAAACTTCTGAAATGTGAACGCATTCAAGCTATATTGGTGTGCAGTATGTGTGCTAAGTTTGAGTTCAGTCAACCCAAGGGAACTCCAGTTATCGAACATTAACCTTGTTTCGGAAGATACAACCAACGTCGACGACGCCAACAACCTATATGTCGCCTCACATTGCAGGTGACACAAACAGCAAAGCTCCAGTAAACTACAATGTAGTACCTTTAATACTCTTCATTTATATATAAACATGTAGCTGTTTCAGGTCTGTCAGAAATACATGTACATCTACCAATAATGATGGTAATCATTGTCAGATGAAAAGTAGAAATTCATTAATCAAGAATTTGAACAAGATATAAAGAATATTAAGTTTTATTGCTTATTTAAATAAGACAAGTATCATAGATTTTGTAAATATTATTCAGAAACCCATGGTTGAATTCACAATGCTCATTTTGTGTTTTGTTTTAGAACTGTAAATCTGGACAAAATGCGGAGCTTCAATCATTACACTGTCCATTGAATTGGGAAATATTTGAGACTTGAATTTCAAATTCTTCTTCAAATTTGGGGTTTAATGATCAGTAAATAGACCAATGAACAGCTAGTATCGGGCCGCTATCTTCAATGTTTAAAGAACATGACATCACATCTGTAATGATGTTTTGAAACAGATTTGAAGTCGCATAAATCTTAACTAACTTTGATACCCTTCATGTTGATGTATGTCGGTATATAATTTTAACAATTGAAGTCAGAATCAATGAGGTTATACATGTAACTCAGTGTCAATGCAATTTTCCAGGGAAAAAAAACATTGTGTCAAATTTAACAAGGGAACATGAAGTGCTAGGTAATATATGCATGATCGAAAAAAAATATCATTAAGTAACATATTGTTTTATGTATTTAAATAAGCACTTTCCTTGAAACAATATATATATACTGTGACTTCAAAAATGCAACAACTGATCATGGGCGAAAAAAGACGGAATTCATGTATGATGGGTGGTGCGTGAGTCAAAGCACCTCAATTAGGCCATCCTGCACTTTGTATCACAGCCTTCGGATAATGAGTAGTGAACTAGGGTAGACAACTCTCCGAAAATATCATTAGTTCCAGGTAGACACGTTATCCTGCTGTTTTTCATTTCCCACTTTATTAGCTTTAACCATTTCTGATATTTTTTAGGTAGTAAGAAAATTTTGTTTCTGCATATAGAGTCTTGTCAACATGTACATTTCAAGTTTATCATATTAAGCATATGTGATGTCAAATCCAATCTGATTAAAATCATATGTTACATGGCTTCGTTAACTTCGTACTACGCCTGGAGCCATGTAACAGATGATTTTAATCAGATTGTGTCAAATCTGAACTGTCTAAAAAGTACATACAATAACCTGTATTTGATCATATAATAAAATACAGTGCAAAATTACCTTATTTTAGTTGTAAAGTCGTTTTTAAGTATAAAAAGTTGCCGAATTTGAGCAAAAAGCAAGAGGTTGGGAATGCAGCTGATGTGTAAACATACGATCATTATATATAATATTCAGACATAACACATCGTCATAAAGATTGCCTTATACTTCAAAGTCAATCTAATTTTGAATAAAACACATACATACTTCACTCTTTAGTATTGCGTTTTGTAAGTCATTCAGTACATCTTAATAAAATATTTTGATAGTCACATGATGAAATATACATTTTATTATAGTCTTATTTGATTTTCTTGGGCAAAGGGTAACATGATAGATCACTTACCGTTCTGTTGTCAATATTTTCAAGTGCATAGAATGGTTTAATCGATGCAGGGAAGTCTGTCAGAAAAACAGGTACATTGCCACAGTGTTTAACAAGGTACTTCTCATGTTCCTTGTTCAGGTCATCTCCCCACTGCATCATAAAATAATACAGCTATATTCATATAAATTACATCTGCAAAGTATATATAATCAATTTTACAATATACTAAAACACTTTATGTAGTTTAAATTCTCAAGACCAATTAATAATATACAACATTTGATAAAGCGCCCTATCTAGCTAACATATTATAAGCCACTCTAAAGCGCTTTACAGTACATAGATATACAATTTTATACAGTCAATACAATTAGCATATATCTTAATCAATACAATATTGAGGAATTCGCAGGAGCTGCCTTATCAGGCGCCAACTACTAGTCCTATGCCACCTGGCTCATATCTCCCTATCTGTGTATGCCTGCGTGTGTGCTGGAGATGTAAAATGTTCTGTTCGTCATGGGAGAAAACCAGTCCTTTAAAGACAATATGCTTATTTGTTTGTGTTTTAAATCCTATTAACAGATCTAGATATGATAATTTAAGGACATATGCTAGGTTTTGTTGGTGGAGGAAAGTCTGACAACCAGGAGAAAAACCACGGACCTGCGGCCAGCAACTGGTGACAGCCAAACCAACATAGGCCTCAAACCTGCAATCCAGTGGGGAAGGGCTAGTGATCGGAGACGGTCAGCGAGACACCTTACCCATTCGCCCACTACAGCCAGACAATTTCAATTTCTATTTGGTTTTATGTATATCAACATATCAATCATTACCTTAACTTTTGTTTCAAATTTTTTGTTCTTCTTTTCAAGTATAGGCATAGCCTCACTGTAAGATATTCTGAAATAGGAAAAACAGGCCCAAATATAAACAGCAATATATGTAGATTTCTAACAGTGTGAACAATTGTCTGTATTTCAAACTTAATATCATAAAACATTAAGAGTTTCTGAAAGCCTACCTGCTATGGCCGCAGCAGTATGATACACGTTTACACTTGCTGCGTCATCTGCGAACAGTCATATTTTGATGTAAATGAACACTCTCCCTGGTTTATTTACCTTACAAAGTCTTTCTCCATCATTGTGTTGATATTTTCCTGCAATTGTAATACAAAAAATATAAATAAATGAAGAAAAAAAATACAAACAGTCATGAAGCAAATATTGTACAAAACAGTATGAAATTATAATTAACAAATGAAATAATGAACAATTTTGAAATAAAAACAACCATTTATATTCACTCCATTATATGGCCACAAATACAGCATAGACATATTTTTTTCTCCTTTCTACAGCATGAATTACTTTGTATTGCATTACAATAGGAACATTTTAAGTTTACCCTAGGAAAAATTGTTTAAATGTCAAATAATTAATTACTTTATGAATAACATTGCCTAAGTGTGTATGCATGGGACATCATCAGGACCAAGTTACATCAACTACAAAAATGTAACATCAGGACCAGGTTACATCAAACATCATCAGGACCAAGTAACATCAAACATCATCACGACCAAGTTACATCAAACATCATCAGGACCAGGTTACATCAAACATCATCAGGACCAGGTTACATCAAACATCATCAGGACCAAGTTACATCAAACAACATCAGGACCAGGTTATATCAAACAACATCAGGACCAGGCTACATCAAACATCATCAGGACCAGGTTACATCAAACATCATCAGGACCAAGTTACATCAAACATCATCAGGACCANCATCATCAGGACCAGGTTACATCAAACATCATCAGGACCAGGTTACATCAAACATCATCAGGACCAGGTTACATCAAACATCATCAGGACCAAGCTACATCAAACATCATCAGGACCAAGTTACATCAAACACCATCAGGACCAGGTTACATCAAACATCATCAGGACCAGGTTCCATCAAACATCATCAGGACCAGATTACATCAAACATCATCAGGACTAGGTTACATCAAACATCATCAGAACCAAGTAACAACAAAAACATCATCAGTACCAGGTTACATCAAACATCATTAGGACCAGGTTACATCAAACATAATCAGGACCAGGTTACATCAAACTTCATCAGGACCAGGTTACATCGAACATCATCAGGACCAAGTAACAACAAAATCATCATCAGTACCAAGTTACATCAAACAACATCAGGACCAGGTTACATCAGACATCATCAGGACCAGGTTACATAAAACATCATCAGGACCAAGCTACATTAAACATCATCAGGACCAAGCTACATCAAACATCATAAGGACCAGGTTACATCAAACATAATCAGGACCAGGTTACATCAAAAATCATCAGGACCAGGTTACATAAAACATCATCAGGACCAAGCTACATCAAACATCATCAGGACCAGGTTACATCAAACATCATCAGGACCAAATAACATGATTACTATCCAGACCAATATAAAATATAAAATTAACAATTTTACAGAACAAGTAATAAAGTGGTTTGATTATATGCAAAAAAAAAATGCTGTGTGCTCTTTTATAATCCTAACAGTTGATGTTTGTTAAATTACAGACTGAAAAACGAGTTCAGATCTGTAAACTGAAGCCTTATATATATGGAGTTGATGTTTTAATAAAACTTTCAACATTTTATGAAGGAATATTAAAGGTATTATAAGAAGTATATCGACTTACTGTATATTGTTTTTCACCAACATATTTAGTTATGAAGTTGACATCTTCTTCAGAATTTTCATAGATTTCCTTTGTAGAAAATTTCACAAGATCTTCCATCACCTATACATTAAAAAACAAATAGAACTGGTGATATTTTTGTGACAAAAATGGGTTTATTTTGCTGCAAAAGAATCACACTACGAAATTATGAAGCAATTGCAAATTGATCGAACTTTCAATAATCAATCTTGTTGACTCAGATATGGAAGCATTTAGTCTGATCTGGAATTAAATGATGAAAGGCATATCCAAAAAGAGTGATTAGTGTAAGTTGAAATAACTAGTTTCATAATTGTTTTAATATAAATAAAGTTTATAAAATATAAAATTTTGTTTCTGGTTGTTATAGTAAAGAGATTATTTGTTTGAGAGTTTGAAAGAGTTTTACAAAGGTCAATATTAGAGTTGTTTGTGATGGGTATATATGTGACTCCATGACCGCTAATTATACAAGTTCTGCGACTTGTACATCAGCAATTTCATGGTATGCTGTATTTTAAGCGGACCCTTGGCCTTGGTACAGGATGGTAGACTGTGTTGGGTGCATGTTTCAATACTGTAAATGTACCTAGTAACAGTATAAGTGTTCTAATCTTATAAATAGACATATACACACAATCATACTTGTCAACTTTTTGAAATTTCCAAAGGGGAGATTATGCATGCTTAAAATCAAAACATAAACGAAATGTGTGTATACACCCCCTAGAGACAAAACAAAATCTATAAATGATATATTTTGAGCTGTTCTTTCAGATGAAATCATTAGATCTTAGAATATATGAACAGTTAAGCAAATTCACTGATTGCCAATACTAAATTTAAAGGAGACTCCTTCCTAAATAGGGTGGGTGGGTGGGCAAGTAAGACAATCACTACTTAACCTACAGCAAACTAGATATCCACCTGTAAATTATTAGGTTCAGATGACAGACACAAAAAAATCAAAAATCAGATTTCTGCTGAATAAACACGACTCCATGATAATTGTTCTGAAAGTTACTAGTATATCATTTTACAAGATCAACTACTCATTGCTAACCTTCAATAAACCTTCAAGGTCATCTAGAAATGCAATCTCTCCCTCAACCATGTAGAACTCGGAAAGGTGAAACCGTCCGCCAGATTGACTCTCCGCACGGAAAGCCGGACCGAAGCTGTAGACCTTACCGAAGGCTCTGTAAGAAGTGAATGTCAGCATCAAAGCACTACTATAATATCTAGTCAGTAATAGACATTATTAAGCAGGATTTAACCCTTTCACCCTTATGCATCTTTAGTAGACTCTCCCATGCATTGATCTGGATGAGTCCATTATGGTCTACAGTGGTGAAAGGAATAATGATAAAAAAAAAAAATATCATCATGCCAGTGCATTGAAGTGCTTGCATGACAAAAAATAGATAGAGAATATTTAATGATTTCCCATAGAATACCAAATATACTTCATGAGTTTAATTTGGCAGAATACATTTGTACCAAAAAATTTCACAAGGTGCAATTGGGTATAGAGCAAAGGCTGTTTGATTGTTCTTGGGTGGATCTGAGGATATTTTACCCTTCAATTGGATACTTTGGGTCCAGAAGTATGCAGCGTGATTGAGCAGTAGTACAAGTAAATTTTCTGTTTTCCAGCAATATGTTAAAGCAAAATAGGCAGTGGCTCATTTCATACGATCAAAATGTATATGCCAACTACTTATAAGCCACTAATATATTAAGTAGTCTTACCCTAAGAAAGATTCCAGATGCAACTGGCCTGAAACTGTTAAATAAACAGGCTTTTTGAAGAAGTGTATATTTTCCTCTCCAACATCTGTCATTTCTTGCATCTCACTCTCAATTTGCTCCACAAGATCCTCTTTATCAGGCTAAAAAAACATAAAGTACATAATTATGCAGTGTTAACTGTTAGTTAAAGTGCCAACTATATCCCTGTGTTTCATGCAAAATTAGGCCACAGATGGTCTAGAACCTCTAATGTTGTTTAATATATCACCAAACCAATACTCCCTAAAAATAAGAAGTAATGCTGTCTACTAATTACCTATCAGTTATCACTACTTCCAGTTTATCATTACACAAAGGTTTTGTCAGAAAGTGTTTAACATATAATGATGGAAATGAAGTTCATTTAATATATACTTAAGTTCTGTGGGGGGGGGGGGGGGGGGGGGGGGGGGGACAGTGTAGATGATTGGTTCAAACCACATTTTGATCACATTATTACAAAGCTACAAGTATGTGTTTCTTAATTGGTAATGACTTTCCTACCTTCACATTGAAGACTTCCCCAGCTCCTTCACAGTCGTTGGACGTCAACATTGGAGTGTGAATGTGCATGAAGTTGTTTGTCTATAACACATATATAATAGATTGAAAGACCATCTTCAAAATCCAAGGATTAAGCTCTTGATAAAATATCTTTTCTGCACAGAACATACATTGTAATAAACACACACCTCAAGAATTTTAAGAATGTTTCAAAACAGAAACTTAAGTAATATTAAAGAGCAAATGATGAAAATCATTTGGACCTCTGTTTCTTCCAATAACCTAAAATAAACAATAAACTGTAAATATGCCTGTACAGCTAGCAGAAGAATTTTACTTCATTATTGGAAAGTTATGACCAATGGGATAGCAATCAGGTCCGAGGCTGTTTGTTATGGTTTTTGGTATCCTTTGAACTTTGTATTAATACAAGCCATTCGGATTGATATGTCTCGCCTGTGGTCTGGCACTTATACTTTCAGAGAAACTAACTGAAACGTAAAAACTTAATGTTGATGGAGATGCTGACAACTTAATCATAGACCATGAAAGGTATAGGCAGCATCCATCATTTGATGCATGGGTTGAGATTTATTAACTAAGATGCATCTATAGTCCAAGTTTGGTTGGTGTAGCACTTATACTTTCACTGAAACGAACTTAAACGCAAAAACTTAATGTTGACGCCGCCCATGTCGACGTCGTCGCTGGAAAAGCAACACCTTATAGTCTCGCTTCCGCTACTTTGTGACGACGAGACAAAAACTTCACAATATACAATAAACTTATGGAGAGTGAAACATCAGCCAATCTGTTGAATTGAATACTTACATCAATTTGTGATATTTCAAAATGGTTAATACCAGCTGGTACATCGTATGTAAATCTTTGTACTATTAACAAATAATTAGTTCATACATATATCTTTCCATATCTGAAGCTTGAGTTACCAAGTGTGTAATCAATGTTGCACTATATAGTGGTACAGGTACATCATGTGTAAGTATGATGAACTATTTAACTCAAAGGTTGTAATACATGTAGTTCATAATGAAATGTCAGGGTGAATGAGTTAAGTAAAAAACAATTTCGCATACAGTATATATTTTTCTCATTTTAAATTTTGTATCTGGTGTAAGTATATATATTTTTACCTGAAAGAATTTGTGGATGGCCATAGTTGCTGCATTTCTCACTCTAAATATAGAGCTGTTGATTTTTGACCTTGAACGCAGATGTAAATATTCCCGTGTTGTGTCCAGTGATTGTTTAGACTTTGTCTGGCTAATTGGAAACTGAAAGAAGATTAAATACAAGCGACTCATGATCAGAGAATAGGCCAAAACAGTCACCTGAATTGCAGTACAAAATGTAACATTATTTTTGTGGAAAAACGAACTGGAGTAATACCTTATATGAATAACAATCAGAAAATTCTACATACAGTGGTATCACTTGTGCCTATTATGTCGACTTTCTTGGCCAGCAATTCCCATTTCTGTAAGCTGCCTGGACTCCTGATCAAGTCCCCACATACATGTACACTTCCACCATGACAAGTCACTCTGAAAGCATTTTAAAACTGTTACCAACTGGTTTTGAACAGACATACATATGATAGCTATATAGAGTATTTCTATATATACCAGTTTAAATACAATTGCTAAAAAAATAATTGCTTTAAGTTATGTGTTTCCTTCAATACTTCTTTTTCTGTTGATTTATATAAAAAGAAAATATTGCAATCTCTCCTTCAAATGTAAACATAGACCTAATTTACATAACATACCGGGTACATATATGTAGTTAAAGCATTATGCCCATTTTCCTTTCCTTTTAATTTTCATTTTTCCTCTGGGTCAAATGGTCACTCAAACTGAACTGAAATTCATTGTTTTGTAAACCACAGCTCATTGTACCATATCTGGCGATGTAGTCCGAATTGTTCTGACGTTTTATCGACTTTTTTTATATCGGTCTGTCGTCGATTAACGTCAGAACTCCGGCCCTCTATCATATGCCGGAAATAAGCGACCCACGCTTTAAACTGATATTTTAGAAACAAATCGTCACTTTCACACACATGTCGCACATGGATCGAAAGATCTATTCTTTATGCACAAGATGAACACGCCTCAAACAACCAATACATGTACAATCACTAAAAACAATTTTTTTCAAACTTACTCTGTTTTACTCTAGTTTTTTTATAGCCCCGCCTTCTAATAAAATATAATGCAACGTGACTAAAATCTCGGCGGCCTATATATCATAACGTTGGGAAATACCTTCGGTAATGCGAGATCTCATCAAGTCATGTGACATATTGCTCATGCTCTTATTTCCATTAAAAACATGCGTTGGTATAGAAAATGTTGGAAAATACTTTTCGTAGTGATCTTTGAAACATGTTATTGATACCACCTAGTGCATAAAGAAGAGATCTTTCGATCCATGTGCGACATGTGTGTGAAAGGGACTACTGGCGATGGAGATGATTTTTGAAGACCTGGCCAACTTTTTGTATTCCCCAAGAATCGAGGAAATTACCAGTACTGTTCCATTTTTTACAACTTTGCTTCCACTTGGGCAACTACTCTTTATATCATGTTTAACTCATTCACCCCTGAAATTTCATGATGGACTATTCCAACGTTTGAATATTGGAAGAGTTCAAATGTGTCATCAGGGGACAGGATACAGACACAGTATATATATAAATGGTCACAGACAAAAAACTTTAAGACACTAATTAATCAGGGAATGAACCCGAGTGTAGATGACAGATCTGTGACAGGAGTAATTGTCAGAATATGTTCTTCTTAGTTGAGCTGAATATTTGTTTTAAATATTATTGTTGAAGTGTGATAAAAACCTGAAAGCTAGCGTTAACCTTGGCTACCGGGTTACCTGCCAATATCTTTATTTCAGGTTCATATCACATCAGATACGTACACCATCACAAATGTTCTTACTTGAATAATCCTAATTGGTATGATGATAATCAAATTGAGGTCAGTGGTTTTTGATATTTAACTTGGTGTTACTATATTTAGAAACAGCAGGCCAATAGTCACTTAATGATATCATTTCAATTATAACACCACAGTGCTCTCTGTCAAATGCAGTACTTTCCTCCATGTACTTTTCATTTCATGCAGTCCATCTTATTTAATGATTAAACACAAGTTAGCGTCAAATTTAACATATATATATATTTCGATGAATATTTGGTTTTATGGACCTGAGAAACTAATATATTAACCTAGACTTTGTCTCAGACATTCTCATTTTCTTATATTCATATAACCACATATTCACCTTAAGAAAATTCCACAATTGATAATTTAACCCGTAGAGTGCTACATTAAAATAACATACGGTAACCAATCAGTGCTGAATTAATTAGGAAAATTTAATTTTCACTGCAGTTCAAATTTAGATATAACTTCATAAGTCACAATTCTAGTAAAAATATTGCAAAAAAATTCTTGTGTTAATATCAAAACATATTAATACCAATGGAAATTGGTTAGTTGATATGTTTGATTTAATTTTAATCAACACGATTAGCTGTTGACCATATAAAATACCATTTTTTAGAATGTGCAACTATAGTTGCACTGTATGTCTGTGGCCACCACTGCTAGTCACAACTATAGTTGTGACTAGCACTCAAAGGGTAAAAAATATCCTACTGAAAAGCCCTGTGGTAGTATGCTAGGACATAAGGCCAAGATGATCATTTGTTGAGGCCATGCAATCACTCACTTGTCAGAAATGTTGCCATCAAGTACAACTTGAAGATGGTTAGATGTTGATCCATCCCATAAGTGCATGAAGGTCACACTTTTGTGTTTCTGCAGAGCCAAAACCCAGCCCTGTAATAGACACAATAGAAAACATACATTTCATGATAAGTAGATATATGATATCAAAGTTTTACTTTTCAAACAAACCATGTATGTATTAAACATGTCGCAACGTTTTAAGACAGACTGGTCCCTTTGTCAAGCTATGACTGAGTGAGCGATTTGTATTTTTTTACCTGTACAACGATGTGACGAAATTGTATATTTTTCATGTCACTCAAGAGAGCGTTTACACACTGCATCAGATAGGTTACAGGAAGGTTGTAGATCTAGCCCCCTCCCACGTTATGTCAGTATCGGATCATACAGATGACTCAGATGGTGCCCCCCCCCCCCCCCCCCCCCCCCCCCCCCCCCCCCCCNGAGCGACATGAAAACTATACAATTTCGTCACATTGTTGTACAGGTAAAAAATACAAATCGCTCACCCATTCATAGCTTGACAAAGGGACCAGACCAGTCGGTCTTGAAATGTTAAGACACATTTAATACGTACATTATTTGTGTAGAAAATAAAATTTTGATATCACATATTTCCAAACTGATGAATCTTATTGAAGATAAGTAAATATGATGTATTTTTAAACCACTATCATTAAATGTCATCATTTCAGAATAAAAAAATGTACTTTGAATGGGATAAGAATATAATGTTAGTTTGTGAAATTTATGAATATGAAATTCATACTGTGATCGTTGTTAATCTGTGATGATAATGGGACTGCCTAATAAGATTGGTCAAACTCAGGATTATTTCCTAAATGTAAACATTATTAACTGGGAAAAATTATAAAATACTTCAACAAACTAGATAATAGTAAACAGAAATGGCTGAAATACAGATCATGCCAGGAAAAGGGACAATTTGCCCCGCCTTTCCATTAGCCTGCAGGACATTTAGCCCTTAATAAATGTTCAAACCCATAATTATCAAGTTACATTGTAGGAAAGTCACCTTTCATATATACTATTATATAGTCAACAGGATTGAGAAAGGAATATTTATTTGAACTCTTCCAATTCAAAGGCTGGAATAGTTCATTATGAAATTTCATGCGTGAATGAGTTAAAACTCTTTTTTTTTTTTTTGCATTCAGACAAAATCTAAAGATTTAATACCTGAATATTTTTTATAGAAAAATCAACAAATTTAAATTAAGACACATTTTTACATGTATTGTCATCTAGAGGTCATGTAAACTAATAGGAGGCTCTGAATTCATAAGTTATGCATGCATATTCAGTGGATCAAAATGGAGATTATCGCTAAAGTTTTTCGATAATAATCAAACTCTACATGTAAAACGAACAATATAAAACATGTTCAACTTTAAATTTAAAATTGTTAAATATGAACAGTTAGCTGTATAGAGATTTCCAAAATTAAATGTGAAAATCTAATTTTCCTACCAATATTAAAGTTCATATCATTCTCACATGACATTTTGATATTTGTAGTTTGTTCCATAGAAACGAAACATGATAAGAGATCTAAGTTGAAATTGATTGGATTGGTTCCTCTCAGCTCTTGACATGACATGTACATATTGTAACAGCTAAGGAATTTGAAGGGAAATACTGCCTTACTGGCCAGCTAGCTTTTCCAGTGATGCAGTTTAACACGGGGACTCGCTCACTAGTTCAGCGAAGTCGAGCATGCTGGTCAGTCGTTGGATTGGCGACCGCCGCACGTTACATCATGTAAGGCCAGTTCCCAGTGGTTATAGGGAAGGTGCATTGATACACAGAGAGGACCTACGAGATTTCCAAGGCAAAGTCTCAGGACAAGATTTCTCTGTTGGCGAATAGTGTAACAGCTTAGGAATTTGAAGGGACACTGTACAAACAAAACACCACCTTTGATTTTTTTAATGACCAAAGTGGACACAGGTGCTCGATATTGGGGTATAACGTTTGGATGATGGTCTCGAAAAAAACCCCAGACTAAGCCTACAGAATTATTGTCTACGCTAAGGGTTTGTTTTAGCATCATGTTCTTTAGCGCGATATCGGGCACCTGTGAAACGGACATGTCATATGTTTGCTTTTCATACAAAGTGTTGAGTAAGACATGAATAAATCTAGTTAGAGACAAACCAGGTTGGGGAAAACCACCAACTTGCGTATATTACGCAAACTCGCCTATTCTACGCCAGTTGGATTACGGATTTGTTACTAAAAATAACCCAAATCGCTTTAACAGTGACTTTTGCAAGATATATTATTGAAAATCGCATTAATTAATTTACGACAAGGTAAATAATATTTTGCTAAAAGATGTTGACTGACAGCGTTGGCTACTTAGAAACTTGATGTAACTTTACCGAAAGTATATTGTGTCTATTTTTGGTACTTTCCCACATGCAAATAAAGTTTATTTTTGTATTTATATATATGTTTCATGAAAGAATAAATGCGACTTGGACAAACAATTTGAAAAAGTTAGGATTACAATTATTTTGGCTTTATTTAGTAACAAATCCATACCCCTATTGGCGTACATGTATAATAGGCGAGTTTACGTATGAATCGCAAGTTAGTGGTTTTCCCCGACCTGCAAACGGCGTAGGGTAAACTAATGTCAAAATGTCTTTACATTAACCGATATGTCATTAACTTCAACATGTTCTTCCGGTGTATTGAGTATTTCGTTTACAGATCGTCGTATACTACTGTAATTACTGAAGGTCAATCTGTGGTTTGTTCTTAATCGCTTAACAATTCCTAAAATTAAGTTGCCCGGCTTTCTGCTCATGGACGCAGCCATATTTACGTCCAGCAGAAATTTAAAAGAATTATTGCTGATTCATTACTCATAGCTGTGTAAGTAAATGTGACGTATTGTATTTTCAATCATTGCTCTAAATAATATTTTTTTATTGCATCTCATTGAATATGAAAAACTATTTCTGAAGCATTCACTGCGTTCTATGAGTCAGGTGCTTCCTAGGTGAAGGTCGTTCGAAGTGGGAAGGAGGAAAACGGAAAACGACTTCTAAGTAGACGGGCGTTGGAAAAACTGTCCCTATGAAATGGGGTGCTGTTTCAGCAGCGACGAGGAAAAGGATTATTTGGTGATTGCTTAGTCTATATGTGCTTACTCAAGACTTGTAAATAAGGGCGTCATTAAGTGTTTTGTCGTCTGCACTCCTTTTTTTTTAGAGTGTTAGGGGGGGGGGGGGGGGGCTCCTATCAAGTCGGTCAAGTCACACTGTCAAGTAAATGACATTAGCTTAATGATTGTTGGAATTGTCCTTTTAAATAAGCGCGTAAACCGGCGGATTAGAAAGCTTGTGTGTGGTCACTTGTACGATCCTTGCCGGAATCACTATCCAACGCTAGTCCTGTAAAATGTTGCTCTCCCCACAGGGGCATGGATCGCTTTACTTGTTATATAAAAAAAATAGGGGTCTCCTATACTGATATATACATATTAGTATAGGAGACCCCTATTTTTTTATATTACAAGTAAAGCGATCCATGCCCCTGTGGCTCTCCCTGTGATGAAAAGAGGTTTATGAATTTCGGTTGGACCACAGGCATTTGTATTTTGTTTTTATAGATATAAAGGAGTCTTTCATTCCTATGTAATCCAACAGAACGATCAAGTTTTTGTATGCATGGTTGATAAAAGGATGAAGTTTAAGTACATACGATATTAAAAAAAAATAGGATCTGTTATATTAATGGATACAGTCATTTTGCCATATTACAATGCTTTTAGTTATAAAAAAAGGCCACAAGTGATCCATCGTAATATATCGCTGACAATATAATGACATACTCAATGTTGAAAAGAATCTGTGGTTTTAAATGTCAGTGCTTTTAAAATATTAAAGCAAATACAATGTAGTAAACCTCCAGTTACTTTGAATTGGCAGGATGTTCGAACACATCTTTTTTACAATTCTATCTACTGTAGTGATAGATCCAACCGTGCCTACCCACATTTCGGATTGCTCAAGTACATATAATGTACATAACTTGAGTACGGAAATTGCTTAATTGTTGATCATGATCGATTTTGGCTGGTGATGCTATGATAGGTTGCGAAACTCGCTCGAACTAATCTACATTGTATTTTCACTTTTGACAGCATTTGATAACTGAGCAACGAATATATATGGTACCCATGAATGTGAGACCATGATAGTATATAATCTATTATGGACAATTTGTACATAAATATGTCACATGCTAGCATACTCCTATAACATAAGAGGCCGCTGCATGGTCGGTCTTTTTTCTATCTGATATGATTTTGCCGACTGTGACGCAGTGCCTGTCAAAAGTATCTCGCCGTGTTAAACCTCCAGTACTGTTGGAGAAATGCTAGCAATGATTGCAATGATTGAGTTTCTTTCTTATAGACATGTGCATGCGCTTGTTTAACAACTTAAAACCCTGACAGTGAAAAGCCGAACAAAAAATATTTGGTGTTTCCGGTAACCCTACATATACCTACCCTAAATGTTTGTGCTTACCCTAAACTTTTGAAGGCAATTTTCAAAAAAGTACTGTTAAAGTCAAGATCACTTCTATATAAACCATTTTAAAATTATTTGTTAAAATAAAATGTGTTACCTAGCTATACCTACCTACTCTAAATTTTTCCAACATATTACAGGAAACACATATATTTTTTTGTCAATTCTAACATCCTTTCGATACGTAGCACTTATTACATTCCCATTGCATCGCTGATATAGACATGCATATAGTTATAGTATTCACTTATGTCACAACCTCTGAGGTCTTTAAGTTAGCGACGCCATCTTTAGGGGCATGCAAGCATTGATAATACAAATGGGTGAATCAATGCTTACAATACATTTCATAGTACTGTGCAACCCCTGTTAGCAATTCAACAATTTAACTTCAGTATGTTGGAATAGTTTTATTGTATGCATGTTAAGTATACGTATGTAAATCATCATGATATAATAAATATTTAGGGATGACGATGACATTATAAGAAGTTTTGATTCATTTTCAGAATTCTGAAGCTAATGAAACTTCTAGACTTCTGGGAGATCCAGTCAGTAACAATCCAACCCCACAAACACAGATTGGGTAAATATGTTTATCAGTATTCTAACTATGGTTTTGAATAGATGGTTGACTTGTTAAGAATAGCCACTTGAATGTTAACCCTTTCACCACTGTAGACCATAATTGACTCATCAAGATCAATGCATGATAGAGTCTACTAAAGTTACATAGGGGTGAAAGGGTTAACATGCTTCTATTTATGTTGACCTGACGTAGTATGTTTTCTAAAAAAAAATAGTTGGTTCGACAAATTTGTTGAATAGCAGACTACTTTTCCCAGCAACCTGCTTTAAATGAGAACACTGGCTATACAGTCATCGTGCCTGTATAAAGCAATTAGTAACAATTAAGAAACCTCAAAAAAGTGCTGAAGAAGGTAACCTTTTTATTGATTATGAAATTCTTTTATGGGAAAAAACCCCAATAATTCAGCATTAACCTAAATTCCTTTTTGATACTGTTATAGTAAAGAGGAATAACAATTTGTTTCTGAAGTATTTAAAGATCTTAACACATTCACCCCTGAAGACACATTTGAACTCTTCCAATTCAAAGGTTGGAATAGTCCATTATTAAAGTTCAGGGGTAAATGAGTTAATAACTTTGAAAAGTTTCATCCATTAACAAGCATCAGTTGATACACTTTTATATAAATACTAAAATCGTTATATTTTAACGAACAGTTGTTCTGTTAGATGAATGGCTTTTGAAGAATACTACAAGATTATATCAAACAAATAATCGCTTAATTTTTAAAGTGATTTATGATTTTAATATAGTTACCTTTACTAGTGTCCCTGATTAATATCGTAATGTGATTCTCTATATATGAATGATGTTTTTCAGTGATGGATACAATTCAACTGCGCAGCAACAATCCCAGAAAGGGGATGAACAGTCCGCATTGGAAAGGATACTCCACAACACTGCCAGGTAACACTTCTAACTATGTTAATTTTCATTCTGACGTTAATATGCCATATGCCTGTCAACTCCCAAAATCTGGGTGTGAGTCTAACCTTCTTCTTGCATATTGTTTTACATCTTCTCACAAAACTGATAAAAGAATACATTGGACTGCAAAAAAGTGTACAGTCTTTGATCAGTTTATAAAATAGGTAAACACATTAATGCTCAAAATTTCACTTTCTAGAAGGCAAATCTAGTTCGCAATCACTGAACCGGACTCTCTTCTAGGTCCTGGTTGATATATTCGCTAAAAATGAAAAAATAAATTCAATGTCAGTCTGTACATCCATTAACCATTAACCCTTTCACCACTGTAGACCATAATGGACACATCCAGATCAACGCATGGTAGAGTCTACTAAAGTTACATGGGGGTGAAAGGGTTAAACAGTTTAGCATAAAACAATGCTAGGTACAACATATATATAATTAAGTGACACAGGGATGCAAATTGCTGTTGAAAATTTTATTAAATTTTCCATATGTCTATAAAAACAGTCAATTGTTTTAGAATGTATTTGTCATACTGTATACATTTGTACATGTCCCTGCAGGTAGGGCGTAAGAATTGTACCTGCTGCCCCCAATTACATGATCGTAAGAGGCGACTAAATTTGGGACCCTATATCTTCTCTCCTTTCTAAATAACTTTCTTCCTAATGTCTCCCTTGACAATGCCTCACTTTTGGCTATTTGTTGAGCGTTCGCCCCTGTGAGGAAGGCTTTGGGTTCTGTCCCCTGGCCGAGACATACCAAAGTCTTTAAAAATGGTAGTTTTTACTCCTGCTTAACACTCAAATTAGAAGTGGGAATTGGTTCGCCCGTTGTCAGTATAATGTGACAGGGTGGGGCGTCCTGCTGGGTGTCTTCGGCAGTATGTTTCAGTGAGGTAGCACTATAAAGTCTGCATCAGTTCCGCGCTATCACAAGGAGACAGACACGAATATATCGCAGCCTCCAAAAATACACACACATACACTACACTCATGCATCTTGCACACAGGGGAGGTCGTCCTTAAATGACCTTAGCTGTTAATGGGACGTTAAACAAAATAAAACCCAACTAAACCAAACATTGTAAGCTTAAGTAAGATGCAAAATAGGCCTCAGTCAATTCCAAAAGTGATTGTTGAATGAAATACGAAATCAAGAGCTGTGATTCTTTGCAAATGTACTTGTTGATACCATGAAAGTTATGTATTTGTTTCCATAGAAATGTGATAGATGTTGGTGCTATTGATGGACAGACCGTAGAAAACCAGGAATACCATGATCGGTCACAACAATACAAGTAAGTATCAGGCTATATTTTACACATACATAATTATCCAAATGTTTATATAATGAAAGGTATGATGTTGTTGCACTCTGCTGAATGTTGTGGTCTTGTTTTCTCCTGAATGAAACCACAAGCCCATCATAAACTTGTGGACACAGTAAAAAAAATACTCAAACAACATTGTCATTTAAATATTAGAACACATTACTTTAATCAAAGAGTACATAATTGATATCTGGAGTAGTCTCCCACAAGATGTTATTTCATCTCGTAACGTTTGTGACTTTGAGAAAAACTTGGACGTATTCTGGAAAGATCTTTAGTTGAAGTACATTCATACAGCGTCTATAATGTATAGGCTTATTTTATGTTTACCATATTGTATTTGAAATTATATTCATGTGGATATAGAGGCAGCAATGCCTGCGTCCACTAATATGCTATTAAAAAAAATCCTATTAAATAAATTTGACCTTATTCATGCAAATATAAAGAAACAATTATCATTTAATGAAAATTCACAGTTGAATATCTTTGCTCTTTGCAGTGGTCGACTGAATGTGAAGCTGGGTTCGTCAGGCAGAGGTCGTAACTATAGAAACCTGCTACCAAACTGTACAGCGAACCCACAAGTAACACTGTCTCAGCCTCCTGTTTCCTTTGGTGATGTGCAAATGGTAAGTTTCTGTTGTTTTTGGTTAGCTTATCCATAATTATACCCCCGCAACGAAGTTAGGAGGGGTATACTGGAATCACCCTGTCTGTCTGGATGTCTGTCTATCTGTCGTCCGCAGTAACTTGTCCGGAAAACTGCTCCTTAATTAACAGTTGGATTTCATTGAAACTTTGCATGAATGATCAGTATCTTATGTAGTTGTGCACCGGCATTTTAATTTGGGATTTCGACCCTTTTTGATGGAGTTATGCCCCTTTTTGTGAAATACTTCTCCGTGCAACTCCTCCTTAACGAACTGGTGGATTTCATTGAATTTTTGCATGAATGATCAGTATCTTATGTAGTTGTTCACCGGCATTTTAATTTGGGATTTCAACCATTTTTGATGGAGTTATGGCCCTTTGTACGAAAAAGTTGTCCGTACAACTCCTGTGCACCAACATTTTAATTTTGTGTTTCAACACTTTTTAATGGAGTTGTGGCGCCCTTTGTAAAAGCTTACAAGATATAATTTATCCTGCTAAATACGTTGAAGTATAACTCTCAAATAAACATAACTTAGCGGAAGCGGGGGTATTAGTCAGCCATCCTGGCGACAGCTCTAGTTAATCTTGCAGAACAACTAGAAATAGTACAATATGGGTCGAATTAATTTTAGAATACAAAGTAGCTGTAATGGTGTTCTTCTAATTAAAATTTTAATCATATTATAAAATATGTGTACAATACTTTTCCATACAAGCCAACTCTCCCAATTTTGGAGGGAGACTCCCAATTTTGGACCCTAAATTTGAGCATTTTCAACCAGTGAATTTGCTAAAGTATTCTTATATTCTAACCCATAATGATTTCATCTGAAAGAACAATTCAAAAGATGCCATTTAAAAGTGTTATTTAATCCCTAGGGTGTACATAAACACATTTTTGAAGAAAGAAAAAAAATACGCTTTTAATTCTGATCACACGTAATCTCCCCCCCGCCACCCNGTTTGATTTGCGTTTCTTCCCATGTTTGATTTGCGTTTAAAAATTTAAAAAATAAATAAATAATGAGAACAATGGAATGAAACTGTTTCTTTAATCTGTCTTTTATTTTAGGTTATAAGCGTAGCAGACAGACTTGGTAAAGCCGTAAAAGAAGTCAAAGTGGAGCACAAAGAGGACCTGGTCGTACCGTTTGGAGTCCCCTGATACCACAACAGCACTTCTAGTTTATAATATCAATTTACATGACATACATTGTACATACACCTACAGACAACTGGATAATATCTAATATTGACAACCAGGAGCTGTCCTACAGTTACTTCCCTTTAATCAATTGTGTGGCTTGAAACCAAGCAAGTTGGAAATCCACTGAGGCTTCAACTCCTGGAAGCTTCTGATTTCAATTTAAGTATTTGATCTGAAAGCAGGTCTTCCAAAAACGGATATCACTTGTTTTAATTTTGATGAAAGTGCTATACAGAAACTGTAAGGAATCTTGAATTCTTTTCATGTCACGAACCCCGAAAATTTAATTAATATCAGATTTAGCAGAATCTTTCCTGAACTATTTATCCAGTTTTGGTAATTTTTTTGAAAATGAACATAATAAGGAGTATTATTCTTACATTTTGGGTAGCCATGGAAAAAAACGGAAATCATTTTGACCATTGTTTTTCTTTCAACACCAACAAGAATAAGTGAGTGTTTGATGTAGAGATAATGTGCATCTAACTACCCAAAACTTAGCTATGGAAGTGCCTACAGTCCAGTATCTTTTTAAATTTTTCAAAACTTTTGACAGTTTTCATTTGCGAATGAGGTATGGATAAACATTAATTCAATAAGAGCTATTTTTCACCGAGTTAAAAAAAAAAAAATAATCTATTCACTAGTCAAAACACAGATTGGAAAGTTCAAAAGGAAGACTACTGATATCTGTTCTGATTCAGTCGAAACAAGGACAAGTTTTGAAGAAATTGTGTTACATTATTGAAATAAACTGTATTATTTATTAGCATGACCATGTTACCCCAGCAAGAGTTTCAATGTATTATGGAGCATTGGGGTAAATGACACTATCGGAAGCAACAACACAGGTGTCTTAATAAAATGTCACTAAAAATCATGTGATGTCATCCATATGCCAGATTGATGAAATTACTTTAATACTGGTTCCCTATGAAGTTTTTTTTTTCAAAAGAAAAGATGTTCTGAGTTTCAAAATATGTTTATGAATATTTAATGGTTTCTTATTGAATACATATATTTCATGTTAAGTGGCGGAGTACTACAATATTTTCACACAATGCATTGCATTCATGAAAATGTTGGTACTCTACTTTTTTTGTGAAATATATATATATCATTCCACAGTTTATTATCAAGTACCTTTTATTTGATAATATTTGCTTCTCATTTCCACTAGCTGAGATGTTATTGGAGGTTATTTTATATCTGGATTGAAGCAGCACATATAGAACCGTAATCATTCTGAAAGGATGAAAAGAAGGTTTAAAGAGATATAACAACAAATGAGATGGTTGATACTGTACAGTCATTGTGGGTCTAGATCTAGACTTTCTCATTGTTATTTCTTAAGCTTGCAATAATATTGATATACTGCTCTGACAATTAATGATAATTTCAATTAATATTGAGTTTCATACACAGCTTTAAGTTTGTAAAATGTTTTCCCTCTGCATGAAAAGTTTGGGTAGTGTACAATTTGCAGTTTTAAGATTGTCATGATATTTGATTTTGGTCCCCAATCAAAATACTATGTACTATGTGGTGTGTACCATTGTATAAAGTATTGAGATAATGCTCGTGCTAATTTCTGGAGTGAAACATAGGAGAGTAATTAGAATGATAGATAAAAGAATGGGTATGTAGTATTACTGGCAACAGTTGTGTGTTGAATTTAATTTGCAGATTTATCCTACTGTTAAAATAACAGTGCCACAAAAATGAATGTATATATGATAGTCTAATTCTGTCATGTGTCTTAGCTTAGTTTAAATTTTGTGCCTGTTTTGCCTATTTATAGAAACCACTTAAATTTTTTTAGATTCATATTCTTTATATTCATATTCTTTATAAATGATAGGAGCCACCCTTTAACCACTGTAGACCATAAATGGACCCTTCCAAATTAATGCACGGTAGAGTTCACTCAAGTTACATAGGGGTGAAAGGGTTAAGGTTAGATAGATTTAGATAAAGTCAAACTTCTTAATGTGATTTGTTAACATGGAAACTGTGTAACCTAAGTTGTAAGCATGTTTGAAGGTCATTTGTTCATTACTTTTAGTCTGTTTACTCCAATACCTAGTCTTTTGAAATGTTTCGCAGATCTAGTCACCTCTGCAGGATAAAATTCCGCTGTTAGTGATTTTATGTTACCTTCTAACATGGGTCCAATTTCAATTGTGTAAGAAAGAAAATACAAGATTTTTTTTTTTTTTTTTGTATTCATTGTTATATGGTTATCTCAAAATGAATAGAAAAAAACTATGCCTGTAGTGTTCTTGAAAAAAATGAAATAAGTTGTTTTAAAGAATTTAACCATTTTGAACACATGATACCATGCTGTAGTATACAGCTACATAAAGGTTGTTGCAGTTTGATATATTGAAAATAAAATAAGATATATATACAATTTGTATTACATAAAACCGTTTTCTAAATTGATGAGAAAGTTACAAGGAGCAATTTTGTTAAGGTATTTTTTTTTTTTATAAATTGTCCCCCCCCCCACAAAAAGGTTTATTAATTATGTGTGTGTCTGTGAAATATGAGGATTGTACATACAGTTAAGAGTGCAGTGCTTGAGATTATTGTATATAGTTGTATTTATGGCTGACTACTGACTTCCACTGGAGTCTGCGCCAACATTAATCACAAATATTACTGGACAAGGTGCTCTGTGTGATAACATTACTGGGCTTTGCCCTTAGTTCTGTTTTAGCATGAAAGCTAAGTAAAATAATTTCAACATTCTTCTGAATTGATTTGCACGTAATTAATGTACACCAATCAAGGTGTCTGAAAACGAAGCTAAATAAACGGTTTACAGGCATGTATTTTTGTGTGTTTACAGTGCCAGACTGTTTGCATATAATGTCTATGAAAATCTTAAAATCAAACAAATTTTAGCTTTGTTCTGTCACTGTAAACAAAAGTTGCAATTGGTAGCAGAACAAAGTAAGGAAACGAGTTTGTAACTCTTAACAGAAATATGGTTTTTAGACACCAAATTGCAATTTCGCGATTCAGCTATAAGTGCTACAATGTTGTACGCTACAACTTAATTAATTATAAAGCTGTGTTAATTTGCATAGCTTGGTAGACCTATATTAATCATTATGTAAGGAGGTGCAGTAGTCTTGTGGTAGGACGCGGGGCTGGTGACTGAAGGGTTGCGGGTTCGAGTTGCATTACGGCACTGTGTTGTATCTTTGAGCAAGATATACTTTACTCCGCTTGTTCCAGTCTACTCAGCTAAAAATGAGTATGTGGGTTGGGCAGTGCTAGAATTGGTGAATGCTAGCTGTGCACAAGCCCCGAAATGGCAGCACCGGCTGTATGCTCCCGAGGGAGCTGAACAAGATATTGGCTGGTTGCAAAGGCCCTATAACCACAGATAATGATTTGTGAACCGCTTTGAGACGACCTACCTATACAAACTAGGTTGTGATAAAGCGGTATATAAGAACCTCAAATTATTATTAATATTAATTATTTTATTTATGCAATGTCGTCAGTTTCCTTTGCCTTGTGCACGTATGTACTACTCACCATGATACTGTATGCATTTATTATCATTCCTGTCTGTGATATAGCTAATTAAGTACATTCTGCACGTCTGAGATATGGATGAACTTGTTTGACAATAGAATGAAATATGCTTTAAAGCTGTTTATAGGCTCCTATAATGTTTCTACATATGCTTTACCATTCAGTTGAAAATTTGAAGTGATTGAATGTGCCAAAACTCTTTTCAATCTGAACTTCAATAATTGGTTGACTTTGGAATTTGATCAATGGATCAATAATTCTTGAAGCCCCAAAAACACCTCTGGATCCGCCACTGATTGCATATATATTGTCATCACATGTACATTTTATTTAAGGATATATTTGATTTCATTCATACTTCTATCCTGACATTTAGAGGTTTCTTCGAGCACATTCAACTTAATTGCCACTAAAATGGAACAGTGGATGCTGGATGGTTTAGTTTTTTTTTCATCTCGAAATGCCATAGAAAATTAATAGTGTATCATGCATTCAAGGAAATCAAATAAAAAAAAGTTCCAACGTTTTATTAAACAAAGAAAGCATCAACATTGTATATTTGCAGGCGTATTAATTAGGTAGGCTGATGATGTTGGACTGTTGTGGTGTCCACGCGTTTCGGGCGAATTCAGCAGTATCATTGGTTTGTGTCGGCCTGATACTTGCATTGTATGGTGCTAATTACAACTGTGGAGGCAAGGAAAACAGCACTTTGTATCAAAAACCATAGAAAGTGAGGAATGACGACAGAAAGATGTTTGAGAGTGAATCGAGATGAATGTGTTGTAATGCAAGCGATTTTGTCTATGATGATGACGAAGAAGAAAGAAAATGACAGATACATTTTATTTATATGCAATTAAATAAATAAATGCAAATGTATTGAAAACTAAATCAGCTGGTTATAATTGTTTGTGCACTTGGTCAAAAGGTTCATCTTAACTACGTACTGTCATCGCAATATTTTCGTCGCCCTTTTTTTTTTTCACAATTTTTAACAAAATATCGGACTAAAGTTCAAATAAATTTGCACATAGTCAAAGGTACGTATACATGTAGATAAAAAATATTTCACATTATATTTAAATGTGGTCTGGTTTCGCCTTGTCTGCGAAAAAAACCCAAATAAGGTACATATAAATGTTAAAGCTGGATTCTGTAAGGCGAACCAATGACGTGCCGCCGTCCCTTAGCATCAACGTTTACTTCAACAACTTGCTGACCCATAAGATATGGATATTTGGCCTGTGCTGGAAGCGAATGTCCATTATTTTTTTTCGAATGAGTTACGTTTAACGGACCGCTTTCAAGGTGGCGAGTTAAATATATTGAAAACTTCAAATAATTTTGTTAAAAATAAATAATCCCTAGAACGCTTGCATATTTGCTATGTAACTTGGAAGGGATATGCTGTATTTTTTTTTCAAAATAAATGACACTGACCTGCATTCAAAGTAACAAGCTAAAATGTTTAAGTAATCCTAATAACGTCTAATAATTCCAATGGTTATTTGGCTCAAAGCTTGTTCTATTAAACATTCGTAAGATCTTGGATAATTGTATTTGACCTGAAGCTTGCTGTTGTGAAGAGCGATCAAAAAGGTCGAAAAATGACATTGACCTACTTTTATATTCACAGGGGTCAAATCTGTAATAATCTTCTATATCTAAGGTAACTAATCAAACTAGAACACTGACAGGTCAGTAAGGGCCCGTCCTGTGGCAATATATTCCCTATACTCATCAAAAAGCAATCTGCCCATATAGCTGAGCTTGATGTCTGACACTTGGACTTCAAAAAGAATCGCAAGGAAGCAAAATATACATTTTACATGTACTATGATGTGAGTCTTGTTTCCTTCCCCCTCGATATTTGCTGGGCTAACAGAAATGTAAATACCGGTGCAATACTCATTTGTTAGCTTTGATTTGTTTTATTTCACCTTAAATACCTCCTCCATCAAGAGCCAGGGTCAAAGTCTGAGATCCACTTTGACCTTTGTACCCAAATGACCTTGACTTTTAACGCAGTGACCCTGATATTTGGTCAGTTGACATATTCTTTAATTCCGACCAACTTTGCTTCATAATATCATAACAAAATGTTCATCAGTGAAAAATACAAAACTTGACCTTGAACATTTGAACCCCTTCACCTGGACCTTAGGTCAGTTGACTCCGTGTTAAGTTCCAAACAAGTTTGCTTCATAATAACATAAAAAAATAATCATCAGTAAAAAACACAATATTTGCCAATGACATTGACCCAGTGACCTTGACCTTAAGTCAGTTGACTCCTTGGGAAATTTCGACCAACTTTGCTTCATAATGTCAAAACAAAATGTTCATCAGTGAAAAGATGCAAAATTTGACTATGATCTCTGACCCAGTGACCTTGACCTTAAGTCAGTTGACTCCTTGGGAAATTTCGACCAACATTGCTTCATAATGTCATAACAAAATGTTCATCAGTGATTAAGATACAAAATTTGACATTGACCTGTGACCTTGACCTTAAGTCAGTTGACTCTTTGTTAAATTTCGACCAACGTTGCTTCAAAGTGTCATAACGAAATGTTCAACAGTGAAAATATATCAAATTTGACCTTGACCTTTGACCCTGTGACCTTGACCTTAAGTCAGTTGACTCTTTGTTAAGTTCCGAACAAGTTTGCTTCATAATAACATAATAAAAAAAATGTTCGTCAGTAAAAAAATACAATAATTGCCCATGGCATTGAACTAGTGACCTTGACCTAAAGTCAGTTGACTCCTTATGAAATTTCGACCAACTTTGCTTCATAATGTCATAAAAATATGTTCATCAGTGAAAAGATACAAAATTTGACCTTTGACCCAGTGACATTGACCTTTGGTCAACTATTTCTTGTTTAATTCTGAGCAACATTGCTTCAAAGTGTCATAACGAAATGTTCACCCATGAAAATATACAAAATTTGACCTTGACCTTTAACTCTGACCCGATAATCTTGACCTTTGGTCAGTTGACCCCTTGTTTAATTCTGATTAATTTTGCTTCATCATGTCATCACAAAAAATTTAACAGTGAGAAGATGCAAAAATTGACCTGGACCTTTGAACCTTATGACCTTGATCTTTGACCTTGACTTTTTACCTCAGCGTGTATTTTTGTGAACTGAATATATTGACCCAAGTTCCATGTAAATCGGTCAATAAATACCAAAGTTATCAGTCAGGAACAAAATTTGTGGACGGACGGACAGACAAACAGAAGGACAGACGGACGGACATGCGGACGGACGGACGGACAGACAGACAGAATGATTACTATAGGGCACCCGTATCTCCGATAAATTCAGAAACTTAAAATAATTTCTTAAGATCTTTAAGATTTAGAGACATGCTATTTGTTGGCATGTACTTTGAAATAATTGACGATGGCCTACTGTCAAGTATCCTCGATATCCGGGGGTTACGCTCAATTTCACACCCCTGAAATATGGCATAGCAAAATTTAAGGCACGCGGCTAGCTATTTGATTGGTGTCACTAGGCTGATGCTTGTTCTTTGAAGATACACAGAGGATCGTCGACCTACGGCCAGTACCTAGCGACTGCCCCATGTAGGCCTCGAACCCGCGACCCAGTGGTGGAGGGCTAGTGGTAGCAGAATAGCAGACGCCTTCACCACTTGGCCACCGCGGCCCCAGATGTCACAGAGTTTGAGTGTGTATCTACACCATTCAATAGCAGGCAAACTAAGCATGCCCGTTGGTCCTTTAGTTTAATAAATCGCACGAGTTGGATGTGTAGGATTCAGTATGATTCCTATCTTAATTTGAAGAACATTAATTGGTCAATCCAAAGGGGTCAACACATAACGCAATGTTGTATTGTCTTCGACATTGTACCCAAAGTAAAATAAAAGCAAAAAAAAACAAAAAACATGTATTTCTAAGATAATTTTCTGGTAACTTTATAAACAGTGAAAATATTAACATTTTTTTGCTCATTTGGCATCAAATCATTCATAAGCAGTTTCATTTCAATTAGCTTTCATGATATCAAATTATTTGCGCCAATATTGGAAACATTGGAAACATTCCTTTTAAAAGAATTTTCAATTGAAAGGAAAGAGAAAATTGTTCCATTTTCTACTCTTGTAAGGGACTGATCAAGAGCAAGCAAGATACGTTACTCCGCTTGTTCCGGTATAATCAGCTGTAAATGAGTACGTGGTTGGGCAGTGCTAGAATTGTTGAACGCTAGCTGTTAGCGCCGAAATGGCAGCACCGGCTGTATGCTCCCCAGGGAGTTCAGAAAATTAATGGCTAGTTGCAAAGGCCCTATAGCCACGGATAACAATTTGTGAACCGCTTTGAGACGACCTACGAACTAGGTTGTAATAAAGCGGTATATTAGAACTTCGAATGATAATTGATGAACAATATGGGCAAAACGTATGGTAACCATCTAGATCTCAATGGGAAACATGTTCTTTGTGCGATATGCAGGTCGATGTTTTACTTTACTCATTTTCTTTGTTATTCCCCGGTTCTCGCTACGAGGACGTGCCATTATTGTATTTGGTCTAAATTGACATGGTCGATGATGCAGAAGACATTTTCCCTTTCCAGGACACCTGGTTTTATTCTCATTGTTCTTTTTGGGGGGTTTTCATGTCAATCTTTCCTTTGTATATATCATATTTTGCCTATTCGTTCGACTTGAATTCGAATTACGATTAGTTGTTGGAACTTTGTTGTTTTCTGATTGTTTTTTTATACTACACAGATATTTTTTTTCATTGATAAAAACGTGTACGTAAACAAAAGTATTTATAACTGGACAGCAATTTTGAAATAATCACCGGGGAATGAAACATAAGCTACTGTGCAAATTGAATTCGCATATGGAACACAAAAATACTTTTTTTTACTGTGTGTATTTGATATAATAATTTAAATATCACGGTCTAAACAACACCTCAGTCTGTTGCTACCCAATCAAATATGACGTCACTGTTAACGTGGCTGTGCAATACCGTCATTGGTTTGTGTGATAAAATTACGTCGTTTTCTCAAAAAATTATGACGTTACTCTCACAAACAAATGATGTAACAATTAATACCTGTTCACAAGAGAAGATACCTCAGCAATGCGCAAAGACGGAATACACGGAACATGTAAACCTTCACGAATACAAATGCGCCGAAAAACAACTTTCATCTTTCCTACCAACATCAATATTCCCCAAGTCAAAGTGGAACATTTCCTTTGGTAAAATATTACTTGCTTCTGTATATGCAAATCTAATTCAATCGTGTCGGTCTGAATAGAGTAAGATGTCAAAATCATGTTCGATTTATTGCTATATCAGAAATTGACGGTGATGACTTTTCGTGATAGTCTCAGTATGGCCGAAAAACGAAACAGAGACTAATTCAATTTCAAATCTACATGATGTTTATTATACATGATTACAAACTGCTGTTCCCAACACACAAGAAACCGCGTAGTTTACACACACGTAAACGTATAAATAACGTAACACACGTAAAAATAAAACATGTCATAAACTTGCATTCCCCTGGACATTAATCTAATTTGTAAAGTCTGCATAGAGAAATTGAATGCACACAGAAATAAATGAAGATTTGCAGACACATTCTGGAAACAACTTGTGGCAAAACATCCCGTTTTATGAGACTGTTATTCTCGATATTGATATCGATAACATTTTGCGCATTCCGTATTTCGTAAACTGAGTCCAAACACGACATGTTATCTAACAGCTCGCTAGGTGTTTCAATCTACATACCATATACGCTCGCAATATGTACTTGTTACTGATTGGTGTAAGATATATGACCAGGAGACTAGCTATATCGAATGTTATCGGATTGTGAGTAT